ATTTTTTTCCTGTCGGGACGACTTGAAGGAGCACTGGAAAAAAAGATGAAGGGTTTACTGCGTACGCACACGGTGGCAGCGAAGATTGGTCCGTCGAGCGCCTGCCACGCGTGGGGTAGGCACCCCGCCGCGCACGGAAGCGTCGAACCCGCAGGGTGGCCTACGCTGCAGGCGCTCACCAAAAAAAACTCTTTCCTGGACCTAAAAATATTACTAGAATTCAGTAGACAAAACGTGAAGGTAAATTCACTAGTGTCTTGGTTGACGAAGCGACGTTTTCGGTGCACTGTAAGCGGGTCGGCTCGTCCATCGGATCTTCGGTGCCTTTGGAGCTCGTTGATTAGCATGCAGACGACCTTGCCCAACGCGGTGGCCTGGAGGCGGCCCCTTTGGGGCCTTTGGGTCTTTGGGGCTTTGGACTCGCCTTTCCCACGAGGCCGTTTCCACACTGTAGGTACCCCTGACAATGAGCGAGCCGCGGTGATGTCGGATGATGCAACGCGATGCTGCGCGGTTCCGGCCCTCGTTCCGGCCCTTCGCGGACATTACAGTGGGCCAGACCGGTGGGGGCGGCCGAAACTCTAGACGCGTTTTGAGCGCCAGAGTCGCGAAATGGGGCTCGAACCGAACGTGTGACCCCATCAATGGATTGCTCTCCGAACGAGGAATCCATCGGTGGGGTCACACGAGCAGTTTGACCACCGCAAAGAAAACATAAAGTTTGCTAAGGAAACAGCGAAGTGATCGCAGTCGAACCCACGCCAGGGGCTCTCATTTCGACACCGTTCGGCACTGGTCCTTACATCCCTGCAGGAGATGAGATAGCGGGCAGGGCGTGCTAAAGCAGTGCTTAACCTTTCTCGCAGCAAACAGTGTAGCGTCACGAGGATGGCATGCAACTTGCTGTGGTGCAGCGTGGCGCAAGCGCGGCTGCAGTTTGGTTAGGTTCACATGCGCAGTCCGAGCCTCTCTCTCTCTCTCTCTCTCTCTCTCTCTCTCTCTCTCTCTCTCTCTCTCTCTCTCTCTCTCTCTCTCTCTCTCTCTCTCTGCGGGTTAGCAGGAATTGCCAGTGTCCCTCCCCCTCCTCCTCCTCTTTCGGTGAGGCAGCCTGCACTTCAGATTCAAACGAGTTTTATTAGAAACCTTTTAAAAAGTGATCGAGTGAGGTACGAAACGCCTGGCGATGATTACGCGGTCTTCAAATTACAGATCGGCTCGGGGTGCTCGAGAACGAGCGCACGGGGCACCGTGGCCGAGGTCGTAAAGGCGTCAGCCGCCAGTTAGACATTCCAGGTTCGACTCCCCGCGTCTCTGTGTTATTTTTTTTTACCGCGCGAAGGGCCGCAGCAGTGAACGGCGGGGATTTTGACCGCCTCCTCCGGTCTTCTGGCCCACTGTGCGTCGTTAAGAGCCACTCAGGCGGGGAGGCGTGGAAGCCGGAATTACGTAGAGCCCAGCGCACAGTGGGCCAGAAGACCGGTGGAGGCGGCCGAAACTCCAGACGCGTTTTGAGCTCCAGAGTCGCTAAACAGGACTCGAACCGAACGTGTGACCCCACCAGTGGTTTGCTCTCCGAACGAGGAATCCATTGGTGGGGTCACACGTGCGGTTCGAGTCCCATTTAGCGACTCTAGAGCTCAAAACGCGTCTGGAGTTTTGTCCGCCGGTACCGGTCTTCTGGCCCACTGTGCAGGGCAGCCCAGCCCAGCCGGGCCGGACGGAAATGGACCCTCTGCGTTCCCAGGGCGTTTCAATAGAGACCGCGTAGCGCCGCGCAGTGGACCCTCCGCAGACGTCGCTGGTCAGCCATTCAAGCCGCCTGCTTTTTCATAACCCTTGGGGTTGCCGGCACTGCCGCCACTGCCGGCTCGGAGGGAAAGGGTGTATCGCGCACAATACTCCCAGAGATGTGTCAGAGAAAGTCGGCTTTGACCAGCGAAAGGCAATGGCTAAACGCAGGAGGTTTTCTACGAGGTCCAGAAACTGCCTTTGCAGTGATGAAATTCCTGGGGTGTCTTTTGCGTAGAGATTTTTTTGGTTGACCGTTGGGTCCATCGTCGCGCAACTAACTCGTCTCTGGCTCCACTTAAATTTAACCAAAAGTGACCTGCTGAAAAATTTAAAAAAAAAATTGGCAAGGGGAGGGGGAAGACTTGAACCGCGACCCCGGCGCACGGAAGTCAACGCCCCAACCCACTCGGCCGGCGGAGACATGTAGGTCATCCGGCGTGAGTACGATGGGTAATAATCAGGCTGCCGCCGCATCGATTTGCGGCACGCGACGCGTGTGTCTTGCAGTGCCGGTCGCGGGGCGTAGCGGGGGCGTGGCGGGGCGTGGCGGGGCGTGGCGGGGCGTGGCGGGGCGTGGGCGTGGCGGGCAGCGCCGCGTCGCCCCCTAGACGGGATGTTGCATTCCGACCGCAAGAATGCAATGCACACCGCCGAGTGCTGCAATCCGTTTCCAAACGTTGTCACCCACTTGGAAATGGATCCTCGATGCCGCGACGCCAAGCGTCCTCCCAACCCGCCGTCCTCCGCTAACCTGGGTGAGTGTGAGTGTGTGCCATGGCGCCCGCCCGGAAAATGTAGCAAGTGCATTAAGGAGATTCCTATCCCATTCCGAACTCACTCCCCCCCCTCTCTCTCTCTCTCTCTCTCTCACACACACACACACACACACACACACATGCAGAGTCTCTATGTAGGCAGACTGCTGGCGCGAGGCGCGGCGTTTGAAAGTAGAGCAAGGTCTACGACGTTGGCTTTGCTCGCGGATATATGTGTGTGTGTGTGAATGTGTGTGTGCGCGCGCGGCTTGTGTTTGTGCGTCCTGAAGAGAGAGAGAGAGAGAAGGGGAGAGAGAGAGGCATCAACATAAAATACGACAGAGACGGAGAGAGGGTAGTTTAAGGAGAGAAAGAGGTATGCAGCCTGAGCTATGCGGCGGGTTGAATGAAAATAAAAAAGAGAGTGGGTCTCTCCTACACTCCTATTTGGCACCTGTGACACACACACACACACACACAACTGTTTCCCCTCACTCATGCAGCTCTACCAGTTCTCAGCGACACGTTAACACGTCGAGTCGTTTGCGGGCTTAGCTTCCTGCTGAGAGAGAGAGAGAGAGAGAGAGAGAGAGAGAGAGAGAGAGAGAGAGAGCGATTATCGCTTTTAAATTCTTAGCAGGCGATTGACACTTGTTTGCGCCCCCGGCCCCGGCCTGCCCCGGCCGTCCAGGCGGCTTCGCTGGTTTTTCAGGCGCGTTTTTCAGGCTGCCGAGGCTTGGCAGGCAAGGCAGTCTTCGACCGGTGCCGTGCCGACTCGGTGCTGACCCGGGCCGCGCCGGGGTCGAAGCGTTTAATGGTGCGCGGGGCCTGCGGGGCCTGCGTGGCCGCGCTGTCTCTGTCGCACTCACGGCGCGTCGCGGCGCCGCGGAGGGGTGCGAGAGAGACAGCGCGACGCGCATACCTAGCCGTGCGTGGTGCGCCGGCTCGCATTCCACGGGTCGCGAATCGAACCCCCACCAGTCTTTGCTTTCCTTCTTGGGCGCGAGCCCCGCCCCGCCCCGCCCCGCCCCGCGCGTATGACGCGGAACGTACGCAAGGGCATCGAGGTCCTTTTTCTGTCCCGTTGGCGCGCGCCTCGGCGAGCAACGCCCTCAAGACCGTCGCCGAGGTGTCCTCCTTCACCGCGCCGCACTCACTCACAGTGGAGAAGAACAATTCCAACGACGCCGAGTCCAAAAACTCTGGACGCGTTTTGAGCTCCAGAGTCGCTGAACAGGCCTCGAAACGAGCGTGTGACCCCACCAATGGACTCCTCGTTCGGAGAGCAATCCATTGGTGGGGTCACACGCTCGGTTCGAGTCCTGCTTAGTGACTCTGGAGCTCAAAACGCGTCCAGAGTTTTGCCGCCTCCGCCGGTCTTCTGGCCCACTGTGTGACGGCCTCCACCCTGTCCCTCGGAGCGAGGTAACGGTTCAGTGGACATGCCTGGCTTTGCGTGGCTTTGCGTGGCTTTGCGTGGCTCTGCCGCGTGGCCTGGCTCCTCTCCAACTTGACACCGGCCGACGTGTTGGCAGCGAGGCAAGGCTGGCCCAGCACACCTCAATCCCACTCGGGGAAGAAAAAAAAAAACAGGTGCCCGCTGATGAAATGCCTCCGACTCCGCAGCGCGAAGACGAGAGGGATATCCACTTACGGGGCTTTCCCCCACCGGAAACGGACCCTGATGGGATTCGAACCTCGGACACTCGGCGACCAAGGAAGGCTTTTATTAATCCCCGCTTCCGATCAGTGCGCCGTCCGTCCGTGCGCTTGACGTGCTCGAGGCTGTCGAGGCAGGCCTCCGCCACGCCCTACATGGCGAGGAGGGCGATTGGAACCGCCGCCATCGGGCCCTCGCGTCGCCACACCCTGGAAAGGCTTTCCTCAACCGGGGTTCGCTTACCTGGGACGAGAGAATTCACTTCTGGACAAAAGCACTGAGGACCCGAGTGTGTTTGTACTACTCCCACCACTTACGGTGGAGGGCGGACCCTTGCAGGGAACCATAAAAGTTCGCCACCAGGAACGCAACCAGCATTCTTGTCCCTGCCAATAATGCGTTTCGAATGACGGACGTCTGCATCTGTGTGTGTGTGTGTGTGTGTCTATGTTTTTTTTTTACAGTGGCACCTCGCGTCGCCGCCGCCATACGTCCCCTGCAATGCCGCAGACGCTTTTCGAATCGTAATCAGCGACGCCAAATCGAAGAGAGAGGCGACTCCCCCCCCCCCTCTCCCTTGCATCATGCTGGAAAGGCTTTGAATGGGCCGTCGTCCATGTCTCGCAGACATTGACTGTCCCGAAAAGTTTAGCGTCGCTTCTTCGAATTTTGGTTCCCTGCGTACTGTTTAACTTCTCTTCCAGTTGGTATGCGGTTTGTCGAAAATGCGAAGTGGGTCTGTGCGAAATTTTTGCCTTTTGCTCTTTGCTGACGAGCGTCGCTTTCTGTTGCAGGATCCATCAAGACGACGTTAAAGACGGGATCGGCCTTCAACGTGACGTGGCACCTAGCCTACCCCCATCGGGTGAGTTTCGGACCGCAGTGGATTCGCCAGAAGACCGGTGGAGGCGGCCGAAACGCCGGACGCGTTTTGAGGTCCAGAGTCGCTGAACAGGACTCGAACCGAACGTGTGACCCCACCAATGGATTCCTCGTCCGGAGAGCAACCCATTGGTGGGGTCACACGCTCGCTTAGAGTCCTCTTTAGTGGTCACCTGGCCTCTCTCTCTCTCTCTCTCTCTCTCTCTCTCTCTCTCTCTCTCTGGCGCCGTGACAGCGTAATAAGCGGCGCTAATTAGTGGTGCACGTCGTTAGCCCCGTCATCCAGGGCGGCCGGGGCGGCCAGCCTGGCGGAACGGATCAGGCGATGGCCCATGGCCCATGGCCCATGGCCCGTGGCCGCCGCGACACACTGGTCCACGAATTACGTAACGCCTCGGCGATGATGGCGTACGCCCTTTAAAATTTCCTTTTCGCTCGACCTGAACGGAGTGTGTGTGCACCCCAAAAAATAGAACTTCGTGGACCCCAAAAAAAAAAAAAACTTTCTTGTTTTATTTTTTAAAGAAAAATTTTACTGAATCAAACTTTTTTTTCCTTGTTTGAGTAAAAATTTTCTTGTGCCAAGACTTGTTTGCTTACATAAAACCAAGAAAATTGAAAATCAAGAAAGCATTTTTCTGGGTGCGCGGCAGTGTAGGCCGTCCCGCGACACACCGTGGACCTCATTGTATTCCAAGCCGGGCAACGCAGCAGTGCTGGTCGAAGGTCGGCTATAAATACGGATGGCCTTCGGCTGTGCCTTCGGAGTCCCTTCGGTCGGCATCTAGATCGGCAAAGGATGCGCGGTGCGGCGCGGTCCCCTGCTTACCCGGTTCTAATACCGACAGAGGAAAACAGACCTGCCTCTGCTCCGCTTCGGCGCGCTCCGCCTAACCTTGCAAATAATTCAGGGCCTCGAAAGGAAAATTCTGTATTTTTATCAAGAAAAAAAAAGTGGTCACCGTCGGGTGGCGAACCCACGCTTTTCGTTTAGCGAGTCACTGCCGCAACCCACTCGGCCACGGTGGCGCCTGAGTGGCGTCACGAGAGAGGAAGTCATTCCTCAGTTGATCCCCGAGAGCTACTGCAATTGCCGCGATTCCCCCGGCGTGACGCGTGAAGCGCCTCGCCCGCCCATCGCTTGACCCTCCCGAATCATTCTCCGCCTTCGGATTGGACGCGCACTTTCGCCTCTCAGTGCGTCGCCGCGTCATCGCGGGACTCGAACCGAACGTGTGACCCCACCAATGGATTCCTCGTTCGGAGAGCAATCCATTGGTGGGGTCACACACTCGGTTCGAGTCCCATTTAGCGACTCTGGAGCTCAAAACGCGTCCGGGATTTCGACCGCCTCATCCAGCCTTCTGGCGAGTCCACTGTGGGGTGACACCTGTGGCTGGCGGCCTGCCTAACCGGGCCTCCGCCGCGGTCCCCGACATTTCCATGCGGCGTCAGCGATTCCGCAAGCGTTTCGTCTGTCTCGCACCGTCACGGAGCGCCGTAACGCCCCCATGAGAGCGAGAGAGACAGAGCGACATGCATCGGCCCGCCGTGGCGCGCCGCCGAAAGTTCATGGACTGTCACGGACTGTCACCGACTGTCATGGACCCAGGGAGGGGGCTGCTCCGCACTTGTCGGCTGCAACCACACTGCGCGGACGGACAGACAGACAGACAGACCACGAACAGACAGTCACTCGGTCGGAGAAAGGACAGAATAAATGGCTGTGCCTACTTTATATTAGTCAGAGCGGCAGACCGCCTTGCAGGTAGGCAACGCCCGTGATGCAACGCACCGGTGTGCTGCGGTTGTCTGCCTGCAAGGCGCCCTGTGCGTCAGCTGTCCGCCTGCGTTTAAGTCTCTCGCAAAGAGGTCAATTGTTAGCTGATTGTTACTTCTATTTTTTTTTAACGGAAGGGTTGAAACGAAAATTTCACCGTTGACATACTGGTCGCAGGGACGGTTCTTTCCAGGGCCGCTCGCTCGTCGGGCCTGCGAGTAGATTAAACTCCAACGAAGGAGCAAATTTTTTTTTCGAGTGCAGTGTGAGCCTCCTCCAACGACGCCGGTCGGGCGCAGAAGAATCAGTCAATGAGGGGCGACCCGCCATGCCGCGCCACTTGGGCTGACATTGCGCAACGCCGGCAGGGAATCGCGCAGTTACGCCCTTCCGATTGCCTGGCGGACGGACGGACGGACGCGGGCAATGACAAGCAGACAGACAGACAGACTGGCACTGCGGTCGCCCGAAAGTTGGCTCGCAGTGTGTCCTTGCCCGATCGAGGGCCTTCCGGGTCCCTTATGTAAGTGAGTGTGCTGCCGTGCCGGTGGGAACCTGGCCAGTGTTTGTCCTCGTGATGACTCTGTGACAAGGGAATGGGAGCGATTATCAGCGTCGTTGTGACTTTTCGGAACGACAGCGGCCGGTGACAACTGCAGTGACCCCACCAATGGACTGCTCTCCGAACGAGGAATCCATTGGTGGGGTCACACGTTCGCTTCGAGTCACGTTTAGCGACTCTGGAGCTCAAAACGCGTCTGGAGTTTAGGCCGCCTGCGGCGGTCTTCTGGCCCACTGTAGGGCGTTCCGAAACGCCAGTGCGGGTCGCAGAAGAAGGCTGGCTCTGCGTTTTTGCGCGTTTCTTTGGACCGCGTCGCCACGGCGTTGCCGCGGATTAAAAATGTGGCGGACGGGACAATTGAATTTGCCGCCTGACTGGGCCGCTCGGATCACGCGCTGATCGAAAGGAACGGGACCGGGGAAAAAAGGACGAAATTAGGTTGAAAGGAATCTAGGATGAAGGTGTCAGCAACGGTCTCTCTCTCTCTCTCTCTCTCTCTCTGGCTGTCACGTCGCAGAAGAAAGTGACGATCGCGTCCCAAGCCGGCAGCGCGCCAACATCGAACAAAAGAATTGGTCCTCTGCTTCCGGCCTTCCGGTGCAGGCACCCCGGAGCCGCCCGGAGCCGAACCGCTTCAAACGCTCATTGGCCTGTTTGTCAAGTGCAGCGTCGGAGAAACCTACCGCCAGTGTCGCCACATGTTCAGTCAAAAAACTCCCACCCTGACACGCTTTTGGCTGTCCGCAGGGCGGGTACAAGCTGCAGGTCCTGGACAGTCTGCAGCGGCCGGTGCTGGACCTCACCCCCGTCACCAAGGACTCTGAGTTCGTGAGGACCGATGTCACGTAAGTATCCCCAAGAACCTTGTGTGAGAAGTGTCCTTTGGGTTTTACGAACACCGATCGCTTTACCTCCGCCTTGCTGGTTCACAGCGCGCAGTCCTACGGCATCCAACTGCCGGCCGACTTCGTGTGCAACGACTGCTCGCTGCGGCTGCTGCGCCAGGCCGACGAGTGGTCCAGCAACTACCGATTCTGGTCCTGCGCCGACGTGGACATCCGACCCGGTACGTCGCCCTGCCTGCGCGCCTCACGGAGCGCCGGCCAAAGACGCGTTTTGAGCTCCAGCGTCGCGAAGTGGCACTCGAACCGACCGTGTGACCCCACCAGCGGATTCCTCGTTCGGAGAGCAATCCGTTGGTGGGGTCACACGTCCGGTTCGAGTTCCATGTAGCGACTCTGGAGCTAAAAACGCGTCCGGGATGGTGCAAGGCCTGACGCGGTCCTCTGCCCCACAGCCAAGGACTTCAAGGAGGACTGCTCGGGGCACGGCCGCCACCTGCTCGGCAAGTGCCGGTGCGACCGCCTGTACTACGGGCCGCGCTGCCAGTTCCGTGACGAGTGTATCGACAGCAGTGACTGCGGCGACCGCGGCCGCTGCGTGGACGTCCAGGCCACCAGCGCGCCCAGGAAGCAGTGCTACTGCGAGCTGGGCTGGTTCGGGCCCGCCTGCACCAAGCGTAAGCACAGCGGGAACATGTTTTGGCAAAACAAACAGGCTTGGGGTGTTGACGGTGGATGCCCGCAGGCTCGCCCGTGCGCTCCATGGACCTGGACTACGACTCGTACACGCGCCGCGACCTGAGCCCCAACTTCCGGCTGTACTGGCGCATCCTGCGCGACGAGCAGGAGATCGAGGTGGTGATGCGCGTCAACGGCACGAGCTACGCGGGCCTGGGCTGGCGGCCGCGCTCCCTCACCGCCGCCTGCAGGAACTTCCCCTTCCTGGAGGACCCCGCGGGCACCGCCACCCCCACGCCCACCCTGCAGCCCAAGAGCGAGCCCAACGCCGAGCCGGAGCCCGGCAGCGAGGTGAGGAGACATTCGCATTTTGTTGACCTCCGACCGCATGCAACGCACTTAAACATTGGACTTTCCAGCCGGAGCCTGAGGGCACTGCGGAGCCCAGCAGCGAACCCGAGCCCAAGAGCGAGCCCGAGCCCAGCAGCGAACCCGAACCCAAGAGCGAGCCCGAGCCCAGCAGCGAACCCGAGCCCAAGAGCGAGCCCGAGCCCACTAGCGAACCCGAGCCCAAGAGCGAGCCGGAACCAGCTGCCGCCAAGAAGGTGAAGAATGTCTCGTCCAGAGCGACGCGGGGCCACGCGCCCGGACACAACGCAGAACTGCTGGCGGACTCCACCGTGGAGACGAGCGTGTCTTTCCGAGTCAGCTCTAGTTCCAAGCACAGTAAGGATACAGTCTTGGAACATCGCACTGGTGTTTCGTTTCGAAACGACTCTCAATATTTTTTCGCTTGCAGGTAGCAGAAGATCAAGGCGTGAGGCAGCTGAGGGTAAGTGCCCGGCCCCTTCGTCTTTGTTCTGTATATACATGACACATCTTGCACCTCACAGAAAATTTTCAAGGGGCTCCATGTTCCTTGGATGTTTTCTCCACTGTACAAAATGTGCACCAATAACATTTTGGCCTACAATTAAGGTCTTTCCCAGGTTGATCAGATCCTTCACCAAACCTAAAATTATTATAGCCAGGCATACATCGTAAACAATCTACATGTGTGCCTTTTTGAATCCACGATTTTGCCGAAAACTAAGTGTACATAGGACCCAATTTTTGTTTCCTTTAATCTTTTGGAAAAATTCATTTTGTACTAATTATGAATTGTTTCCTTTTTATAGTTCTATAATAACATTTTGTCCCATACTTCAAAGTGTTGACTTGCACTTGTTTTTATGTGATACACTAAATATGTATATACTGTTCTTATTTAAAGTGCAGTTGATCTGATAGAGGTTTATCCACCTATTTTTTTTATGAGTACTCTACTGCTTTATTGGTGGTTGGTATTTTCGGGTTGTGGCACTTTCTGCTTATGTGTCCCCACAGGCGCACCTGCTCCGGAGCCCAGCGCTGAACCTGAACCTTCTTCAGAGCCAGAACCAACTTCCGAACCCGAACCCAAATCCGAGCCTGAGCCCAAATCTGAACCCGAACCTACCTCTGAGCCAGAGCCCAAGTCCGAACCCGAACCAACCTCAGAGCCTGAGCCGAAGTCTGAACCCGAACCCACATCAGAGCCTGAGCCCAAGTCCGAACCGGAGCCTAAATCTGAGCCAGAGCCAAAGTCCGAACCAGAGCCTAAATCTGAGCCAGAGCCCAAGTCTGAGCCTGAGCCTACATCAGAGCCTGAGCCTAAATCGGAGCCTGAACCAAAATCAGAGCCTGAACCAAAGTCGGAGCCAGAGCCTAAATCTGAGCCTGAACCAAAGTCCGAGCCCGAACCTAAATCTGAGCCCGAACCGAAGTCCGAGCCTGAGCCTAAGTCTGAACCTGAACCCAAGTCTGAGCCTGAGCCCAAGTCTGAACCTGAACCAAAGTCTGAACCTGAGCCCAAATCCGAACCCGAACCTAAGTCTGAACCTGAACCAACTTCTACGCACAAATCCAAACCTCAAGGTGAGCCTGGACACGGCACCAAAGCATCAACAGCCTCAGGTACGATATAGTGAGCACAGGTATTAACACTTTTCTTGTGGCATAAGTTGTGAATGTGGTCTTTCCTTTCCAACAATTTTCTCGTTTTGTCATGCTTGTGTGCACTTGACATGTATGTATATTTGGAACTTCTTTCTTATCGATCACAATTATGCATGGTATGGGACTTCAATTTAAAATATGCGCGGTATAAGTTTTTTTTTTAAAGTTAAAGTGGTCCTAAGTAGCATAACAGTAAGCAGAAGACTTCTTTTTCTGTCATATGTATATTTCTTGCTCTTTTACTTTGTTGTGTTTTGCATCAAGATTACTACATCGATCTACTTTTTCCTTGAGTTTGTACAGATTCCTAAAAACCTTTATCTTGTCACTGAGCTGCATGCATTGATTTCTGCACATTTAGAATTAGCTCAGATTCAAATCAAATGCAATAACACTATTAGAGCACAATTTCTTATTTTCTGGTGAATGAACTCTATGAAGTCTGTTCACTTGCATGTTTCTTCTACGTTTATTTATAGTCGTTTACATCTCAGTTTTCGTTTTTCATAAATAAATTAAGAGTTTTCCTGATAAAAGGAAGTATTAAAGATGAAACTTGATGCGAGGTTGCCAAATAAGCGTTAACCAATCAGATGTATTAAGAAAGGAAAAGATGGTCACTTCCTTAATTTTTAGTTGCCTCTAAGATGACGATTTGTTGACAACCGTGTACAAATATGCTGCATTCTGCAGGTTTTGCTAAGCATCCTTATGCGCCTGCTCATGATTTCAACCCCATGGATTGTACTGACATGGTCATTGGTATGGCTCGAGGAACTTCCAGTCGCATTTGGGATTACTACACTCGCGACAGGTAATATCTTCTTTTTTTGCCACAAAATCAATTATTTTTTTCTGAACAAAGCGACTAACTATTTCGTTTAACTTTGTGCTGCAGATCAACGCCAAGGTTTGACACTTTCTGGGGAGGCAAGAATGACCTTACTGCAGCTATGGGCTTTGAAAAGGATGGTGTAACAACCATTTTGTTCAGAAAGAAGCTTATCGGTGTGTAATGTGTAGAAAGGTCGTCATCTTAATCCTCATAGGATTATATGTTCATTTATGTCATTATTTCCTTTTACAGCCAAAGAACCAACTGACCATTCTATTGAGAGAGATCTCATGCACGTTATCTGGGCTAAGGGTCAAGAGGCTGGAAAGTATGTGCATCTGCCCAAGTCAGGTCTTGAAAAGGAGGCTGCGTCTGTTAAAGAGTTCTACAAGGCAGATGAACTCAAGTACCACGGACATGGATCTCAGCGAGGAGTTGCTTCAATTAATTTCTTCGGTGAGTGAGATGCTGTACAATTGTTCTGACTAGCCTGCCATCCCGAACAGAAATACAAGTACTTTTGTTAACTTTACAGAGGAAGCAAATCGAGAGCCAAGCAAGACAGGTGCCACTGAGGATGAAGACATCTGTGGTGGACATTGGCAGACTCCCCGCAACTGCAACCCCGCAAAGAAGAACTGTGAATACTATGCCAAATGGGAATACTTAGAAAAGAAAGACGAAGTCAAATTTACAATTCAGACAACTCACACTGATCTCTGGACGGGAATCGGTTTTTCAGATGATCAGAAAATGGTAACAACTCCCTGGTGACCTCATCCTTTTCTTTAACTTTACCTCCCTCTGTTTTCTAATATTGTTGTATTTCCAGTCTCAAACTGATGCCATCCTGGGATGGGTTGACAAGAGTGGGCGTGCGTTTGTAATGGACACGTGGATCTCTGGGTACACCGCTCCCCAACTTGACGTGTCTCAGGACGTGTACAACACTAGTGGTAGCATCCGAGATGGAGCCACTACCTTGTCCTTTGTCCGCAAACGTGTTACATCTGACACTAAGGTGAAGTTTTTTTCAACCCACCGACTCTTTTAAAACGTTGCCCAAAGTAACCTTAAGCCGATCTAGCACTAACAAGTGTCATCTTTTGCCAATAGGATATCTCGCTCTCAGACGAGAAGTGTGTCTACTTCATGTTCCCAGTGAAGGGTGGTGCTAGAAATGATGTCAACAAGAAAATACGAAAGCATGAACAGGTTCCTAGTTTATCGACGCAGAGAGTCTGCATCAAGTCTTGTGGAAAGGGTAAGATCTTCACAGACTGACATCAGTTTATGATAATAATTAGGGGTTTAAATTACTATTTGCAATATTTTGTTTGCTAGGATCTGGTACTAGATACACAACCACCCCTGCTCCTCCAAGATTAGCCTACAACGTCAAAGTCAAGTTGACTAATTTGGGTGTCAACTTCCAAACTCCCAAGAGAGGTACACCCGATTTCGAACAATTAGCTAACACGGTTGGCACTGGATTCAGTGACGTTTTATCCAAGACACCTGGTTTCCACAACCTGGAGGTTGATGACTTCTCAGAGTAAGTTACAACAGTGAAATAACAGGTGACAATTTTGTAATGAAACTGAATGTAAAACAAGTCTCTAATTTATTTTTCAGTGAGGATGGCCAGATTGTAGCCAGGATGAACCTGGTGTTGGATAAGGCGAGTCTCATCGCTGGTCGGTCCTTAGAAGCAAATACGGATTCTGCTGCAATGGCGGCGGTAGCCGGGAGCCAGGCAGAGCGTCTGCTTCAAGAAACCCTGGCCACAGGGAGGGTCGGTGCCTTAACTGTAGATCCACAGTATTTGGTGTTCGAACCTCAGATGCGTAAGTTGTTTCGTAAGGAGCTTTTCGGTCTATGAGGATTATTATTGATCACTGACGACAACTTTCCCCTTTTCTTTGCAGTTACAGCAGATTTACCGAATGATGACTCCAATGACGTCCTTCTCTCTGCAACAAAGTTGTACATAGTTATAGGTTGCATTGTAGCTCTAGTCCTTGTAGCTATTATTCAAGCGGGATGTACTATCTATCGCACTGCCAAGAGCCCTTCACCCCATCACAAGGTAAGTCGACCTGCAGAGATATTTTTAACAATTAATGGGATTTTCAACTCAAATGATTTCAAACTTCAGCATGGCATGACACAACCAGATGTAGAAAAAAAGAATCACCAGGACGACAAAAATTTGTTTTTCTCCTTTTTCTTTTTTGAAGTATTCATGAGGCTTCTAGAATGTCTGAAACATTGTTAAAAGTTAAGATTGCTGCAGCTCTCTGTATCAAAACTTTAAAAGGGCCTCTTCAACTTTGCATTTTGTCTATTTTTTTATTGTACTTGATTATTACAGTTGCATGTGACCTTCGCCTGCTTCTGTTCTTTCTTTTCATTGTTTTGCATCGTCTTTAAGTCAGTAATAATATTTAACTTTGCTGGGATTTGAAATCTTGACTTTCAAAGGAAACAAAGTATATACTGTACTAGAGAAGTGACGAACCAATAAGACAGGTCGAAACTAGATTTGAAGTGGTGATCTGAGATGCATGCTCAAGTAGAGTTGAATTGGTTGAGATGGTGAACACACACTTGTAACTACTGTCACATATTTTACTTTGAGGTGCCTGAAACAAAAAGTGCTCCTGTTTTTAAATTACTTTTCATTTTTTAAAGATCAATAACTAATATTTCAACTTTGTGTTACGGAAAGCATCCGTTCAAGTCAAAATGAAATTTCCTTAATAACAGGCGTCTCACTGTAAAATTATTTGTCTGCCCATTGTATGGTCATCTTAATTAAGCTGAGTCATTGTGCGTGTTTCCAAATAATTTCCTTGGTAAAACTATTTTTCTCTGTCTCTGATACATTAAGTTTTCATATTAAATTCTAGTCTCTTGCTGTGTCTGTCAACCATAGAATGTTTGATCACAATATTAGCTAGCTTGCTGCACAATATTGATCATACATATGCTCATGATTTTCAGCTGCCTATGCGCATGTGAAACATTTCATAAACTCTGAGTCCCGTCCCGTGCTCCACAGCTTTTTTCACTTTGACAATGTCCCCCTTTTGTAAACGAATTGAACTGTTATACATGGCAGAGGCAGCTGCTTATACGCCCAGACTGACAAACGGACAAAGTTTGGTGAAAGGGAAACTGATCTTGTGCAGGATGAAAGACTCGTGAAAGACTTTCGAATTTATATTTCAACCATTTTGAAGGGGACTACTATTAGAATTGTTCGGACGTTGCGCAAGGTCGGTTTCCCTGGCTGCCCTGACTGAGACGTAGTAGGTCATGGCATTGCTTTCTGCCTTGCGTCAAACTAATGCAACGGTTCGTTGGCCCCACATTTTGCCCCCTGATGCCATGCCCATGCTCGTGTCCTGGCAGCGTGTCTACGCCATTCCTCTGGGCGCCCCCGGCCAGTTCCACCCTCGCGACGCCCCCGCCCCCCAGTACCAGTCCACCCTAACACACAACCCCCATTCCCACGCCTACTGGACGCAAACGGGGACCATGCAGTCGCAGCAGTCGCGAAGTTCGCGGTCTGCCGACCGGCATGGCGGGGGCCGGGGTAGCGGGAACGGGAGTCACGGCCACCAAGGCCACATGGGTCATGGCATGGGTCATGGCATGGGCCACGCAGGCGCAGGCTTCGGCACCCTCGGTCACGGCTCCGTCCATGGCCACGGCATGGGCCACATGGGCCAGGGCCACATGGGCCACGGACAAGCCCAGTGGTGAGGTGAGTCAGGTCCAAGGGGACTCCAGTCCTACGGCAGGACAGGGACAGGTCCCCGCCCGTCCCAAGGCCTTTCCAAAGGGCCCGAAGGACCCGAAGGGCTTGTCCTTGTCCGCCCGAACCCCTTTGCCTATGCACTGCTACATGCTGCTTCGCTGCATTCATGCTATTTGGCAATGTGCTTGTGGAGCTCTCTTTCCCGCTCTGTCACAAAGGAATTTCTGCCACGGTCAAATTCCTTTGTGACGTTGCAAGAGGAGACCCTGAAAGCATTTCGTATGCTTCCAACCCTTGTGTCGATATAAAAAAAGTCAGAAGCATGATCCGCTCTCTTGCTTCTCTTGCGTGACAAGACACCTACTGCCGCATGTTCACCATCTCAACACATGGAGTGGCTCCCTGACCAAAAGAAAACTTCGAGCACGCATTCTTTTATAGAGAAAGAACGATCTTTGCTTCTGTCATTTCATGGTTCAAATTGGAAAATAATACATACTCTTACGTACGTATGCCTTTGTTTTCAAGCCGTAATAATTCAAGTATAAAATTATATTTAGCTGTTATGCTGTTGTAGTGCTCCAGGTTTTACTTTGCTTTGCTTTTTTGCACATTTCTGGTGATGAAGAATAACAGCTTGTGTGTATGTAAATAAAACTAATTGAGGTTTTTGTAGGGTTCTTAATCATCTTACATATTTCAGGTGGTCTGTCTGATGGTTCACAATGTCAGCATACTGGAAGAAGTGTTGTCTTGAAAAGAGTTTTATCCGATCTGATGATTCAGGGTTCAAATTCGCGAGTAATAATGTCTGTTTCCTCTGCTTAAATTTTAAAAGCACCTGTTTTCCATTTTGCATACCTTATAATTTTCTGAAAATAGTGCTCGAATTCTTGATTTTCTTTTCGTTGGACAGAGATTGATACTAACCTGCATGGGCTATATATATTCTGATTTCATTTTCCCAGCAATTTTATAATTTTTTTTACTGAAGACTTTTAAGCATGGGTAGCTTTTTGACTGCGCTAATAAAAAGCACAAGAAATCTTCAGTGGTGGCCTCATCTTACGTTAATTTAATAACAACCACTAAGAGTAAAATCAAGAATTTTATTTGCTTTCTTTCTCGTCGAAGCATGTGGTTGGCCGCCTGGTCTGGAACCCCTCCGAAACTTTATTCCGCATCAAGGAGGCTCCTGTTTCCGCATTTCAATTGGAATTCCTTCTAAAGGAAACTGACCTCCTTCGCCTAGTTGTTGAGCGACACGACATGATGCCACTAACCCGCTGCTAACCCCGACTCGGCTCGCTCCCCGAACAAGGTCCTTACCGTCCCTGCCTTGGCTTTGCAGGAGCACCTGATCCCCAGCTCGGCGTGGCGGGACTACTCGGCCGCCAACACCAACTACGCGTTCGAGGCCTTCGAGTCCGAGGAGAAGCCCCCGCAGCCCGGCGGCCCCGGCGCCAGCTCCAACGGCTCGTCGCGGTCCAACGGGGGCCGGGACGTGGTGGACGGCGCGGGGGGTGTTGGGCGGCCCCGCGGCCACGGCCCGCCCAGCTACGGCCACGGGGACTCGCGGTCCCTGCAGAGGCACAGCCAGGGCCCGGCGCCGCGCGGCCACCACGCCGGCCACCACCAGTACCCGCCCGAGCGCAGCACCTACTCGCTGCCTCGCACGGCGCACGGCCCGCCGGTGCCGCACAACGGGTACTACACGCAGGACCGGCGCAGCCACAGCGGGGCCCACGGCGGGGCCAACGCGCAGGGCGCGGCCAGGGAGCTGCAGCCAGACTTCTACTTCATGCCCTCGCAGCGCAAGTACTCCGGCGAGGTCGTGCGCGTGTACGTGGACTACAACACGACCCCCCGGAAGTAGCGCAAAGTCATCCCGCTTTAGTTAATTTGTTTTCCGTGCCAATTAAGTTAGTGTCGCCTCGCGGCGCTCTCCGCGCGGCGGGCTGTTAGTGATAAACGGAATGGTGCGGCGTGCCGGTGCGCAAGGCGTTTGGAAAATCCAAAGAACAGAACCCGTTTGGAAGCCTCACGTGGACTTTTGTTCTGTGGTTCTTCCCCACCCTGCCGGCACTTTTAGTTCCCCTCCATTGTGCCTAATAATCTAGGAACGGCAACTGAACGTGTTAGCTTATCTGTACGAAGAAAGACAAATGAGGTATTGTATGTGTGATAGGAACCTTTTGGAGCAGGGGTATGACAGGGGTTCGTGTATGCTGTGGACTGAGAGTGGAATGTTATGTGTGGATGAATTTACCAATAATAAAACTATGTTCGTGCTCAATAACAGTATGTAATTGTGTAAAAAATGATTATAAACTCTAGCATTTTTTATTATATTTTTAATGATTTTAAATGATTTGTACAGTTTAATAGATTTTTATGACAGATTTAAGTCTAGCTAGAAAATGTATATGAAGACATTAAATGAGTATGAGTGTTAATGCAGTTCTTGTTTTATTTTTCTATTAAATTGTTTTAACATGTGAGACTCTTCTTTATGTATTTTACAAACTGCAGAGATAACGCATGTATGTAAAACTGTCACCAAACATGTGAATTTATTTTGTCTCTTATGTACATATATTTGTCCTGTACTAATCATGTACATGTATTGTTTCCATGTATTTGAGTGCAATCAACTGTCTTCAGGTTGTTTTCAAGTTGTTACTGTTAACCACCCAACGTGGTGAAAATAAACACAATTTGTAAGAACTCATATTGTGTCACAAACAAAAAAATTACTTTAATCTGGAGTGTGTTAAACTTTATTTATGAAAGACTTGTCCATACTTATCCTGCGCACTGTACTTAATAATGTGAGGAAGTACTTAGCTAATAAGGTTGTTTATATATGATGTGTGACTGCCTAGTTATAGAATCTGTCCTCAATTATCTGAAAACCTCAACAACCGTCGCTACCAAATTTCCTTCGTTTCTCTGGTTCCATTTCAATTTTCCGAGAGTCTTTTTGCCTTTATGAAGCCCACCCCATTCCTCTTAATTTATACTACGAGTTTGCCCATTAAGGCTAAAGTTATCAGTGAAATGAGTAATTAAATAATTGTTTTAAGAATACTGCTAGTGTCTTCATTGCTACAACCCTCGGTGCAAGCCGATGTCAGTCGGTTGGTACCCAACAAACAAACCCAAACAACACACATGTGTGTGCATATATATGCACATAATCTGCACCCTTTACATATTGACTCTCTTTCTCCCTCCCCCGCCCCGCCAGGCCCGCCATTCGGTCGCTCCGATTGTTGCGGCTTGCGCCGTCCGTCGGGCTCAGTCCGGCCAGTCAGCGCCTTGCTGCGCCTTCCTCCCTTACCTGCTCGCAGAGTCGAGACCGTCGAGACGACGAGAGCCATGCCGGCAGAGCGGCCGGCCCGCCCCGCCGCCACCATGATCCCCGTGGATGCGGCGCGCCAGGAGGGCGAGGGCGGCGACGGCGAGGGGTGGCTGCCCGCATCCGCCGTCTTCATCCGCGCCGTGTCCAAGCAGATCGCCGCCATGAGGGTGGAGCTGCGCATGGGGCTGCCCGTGCTCACCAAGGAGGACCTGCGCAGGTCCGCACAGTGGATGTGCCAGTGGACCGGTGGCGGCGGCCGAAACTCCAGACGCGTTTGGCCCCAGGTACCGCATGTACGACGCGGGCTCCGTGCTGCTGGAGCTCATCAACTCGGGCGAGGACTGGGCGGCGCAGACGCTGTGGCAGCTGCTGCAGCTGGACGGCGCGGCGCGCCAGGAGCTGGACGTCGTGGCCACCAAGGCCCTGCGGCGGCCGCCCCTCGCGCGCTGTCCTGAGCTGCTGCACGCCCTGGGCACGGGGCTGGCCGCCGCCGACAAGGCCGCCACCAAGGACGGTGCGTCTGTCTCTCTCGCCTCCCGCTCAGTGCGACACAGTGACCCTTGGCCCCGCAGGCGACCGCGGCCTCGGCGGGACGCAGCTGCTGCAGTTGGCCGAGCTGACGTGGGCGCGCGGGCTGCCCTGGTGGTGGCTGACGGAGAGGCTGCTGGAGCTGGCGGCCGAGGCGTGCGCCGGCTGGCGGCAGGACGGCGGGCTGTGCGAGGCGAGCGTCGCGCTGGCCCACGGCGCCTTCCTGCTGCACGAGTGTACGTTCGGCAAGCTCAGGGCGACCCTCTCCGTTGCGTAGCGGGACCTTTCTCCAGCGTGGGCACACTGCTTGCACTGCGCAGTGAAGGAGTGCGGGGAGGGCCTGGCCAAGCTCACCCTGGGCGCGCAGCTGTCCGCGGGCAAGCCCTGGACGGCCAGCCCCCCGCTGCTACTGCTGCTGCCGCCCGAGTACCGCAAGCCCGAGAGGTTCGACGCCGCCGCACAGTGGGCCAGAAGGCCGGCGCAGGCGGACTTCAAGTCGCGAAACGGGACCAAACCGAACGTGTGACCCCACCAATGGATTCCTCGTTCGGAGAGCAATCCATTGGTGGGGTCGCGTCCCATTTAGCGACTCTGGAGCTCAAAACGCGTCTGGAGTTTAGTCCGCCGTCGCCGGTCTCCCGGCCCACTGCGCGCCGCCCCGCCGCCGGCGTGCTGACGCGTGCTGACGCGCGCTGCAGCACCGTGGACGGCATGTTCCAGGTGGCGAGCCGCGCGCTGAGCGAGGCCCTGGTGCACGAGGCCAGGGCGGCGCGCGCTGAACAGGACCACGGCAGGGCGTCCGCGCTGTGCAGGGAGGCGGTGCAGCGCGCGCACGACGGTACACTGCATTCGGCGTAGGGTTGCCAACGCTGCCGCACGCTGCCGCGCTACAGGGTTGCCAACCCCCACAGCCAGGTCCCCCGAGCTGGAGCTGCTGGCCGAGCAGGAGCTGGGGACGAGTCTGCTGGCAGCGGGGCAGCCCGCGGAGGCCATGGCCACCTTCAGGACGTTCCTGGCCTTGGCGCAGCGGGCCGACAGTCCGCGCGACGTCATCACGGCGCACCTCAAGCTCGCCTCCTGCTGCAACAGGTCTCTGTCGCTCACACTGGGCACCCCGTGAGGGTGCGAGAGAGACATGGACCATTGCTCCGCGTTGCTCGCAGCCAGTCCGACTCGGACGGCACGCTGCGCTGCCTCCGCGACGCCAAGGAGGCCGCCGAGCAGTTCGACCAGCCCGACCTGCTCGCCAAGGCGCACGGACACCTGGGGGAGTTCTTCCTCAACACGGTGGGCGCGCCAGGGCGTTTCACAGGCGCAGGGTAGGCCACCAACGCTAGTGCTGGGCACACCAGTGCGGCGGGTGGCCTACCCCGGGCTCCACAGGCGTACAGGCGCAGGGTAGGCCACCACCACCAGTGCTGGGCACACCAGTGCGGCGGGTGGCCTACCCTGGACTTCACAGGCGTACAGGCGCAGGGTAGGCCACCACCACCAGTGCTGGGCACACCAGTGCGGCGGGTGGCCTACCCTGGACTTCACAGGCGTACAGGCGCAGGGTAGGCCACCACCACATGTGCGGGGAGCTACCAGTGCGTGCGAGCGCTGGCCGCGTGGCCACAGGCGTACGTCGCAGGTAGGCCCCACAGCAGTAAGTTGGGCACACCAGTGCGGCGGGTGCCACCTGGATCCGGCGTGGCGAGGGGGCGCGACCTTCCACACGGGCGGGAAGTGGCTCCTTGGAGCCCCGAGTGGGGCGGCCAAACTCCAGAGGCCCACAGAGTCCGCTGGCGAACCGAACGTGTGACCCACCAATGGATTCCTCGTACGGAGAGCAACCCATTGGTGGGGTCACACGCTCGGTTCGAGTCCTGTTCGGCGACTCTGGAGCTCAAATCGCGTCTGCAGTTTCGGCCGCCTCCACTGGTCTTCTGGCCCACTGTGCAGGGCTGGAGCTGTGGGGGTCGCTGGTGGCGGCGCTGCGCGAGAGCGGGCCCGACCAGCCGGCGGCCACGCGGCGCCAGCGCCTGCTGCAGCTGGTGGCGTGGAAGGACCGCAGGACGCCGTTCTGGGCCGACGACGTCGTCGTGTCGGAGGCCGTGCGCCAGCTGGAGCAGCACGACCCCAACCCGCCTCCGCGGCCATCCGCCCTGGTCTGTCTCTCCCACACTCGCGTGCGTCGCGTTGCAACCAGCTCGCTCACTCCGACGCCAACCTAACCTAACCTAAACCCAACCTAACCTAATCTAACCTCCCAGGAGGAAGAGCAGCTGCAGCGAATGGCCGAGGCCGCCCAAGCGAGCGCGTCCCGCGCGTCTCGCCAACAAGCGGCGGACTTCGACGCACCACAAGAGGATGACATGGTGCGGGTGGAGGACGAGGATCGCACATCAGAAGAGCAAGACCAGAGTTAGTGTATAAAATACTGTATTTGATGATTTTAAAAAACGTCGCATGAAACAAGACATTCACATTAAACTTTTCCAATCACAACCAACTTAACTTGATTGCACAAATATTCAGATTATAACGTTATTACAAGATCGAGTAACCTGCTAATTATAATCATAATAATAATAATTGTAATAATTAAAATGATACACTGATCAACACACGATACCTTCCAAGTCCCTTTCTTGGGTGTAAAACCTTGAAGTATATAAAACCTTTCAGCGAAAAGTTAAGAAACATCCCATTTATCACATAAACAAACACAAACCTCAAAAGAGGTCTGAGAACGCAAACTAAAACTAATAAAATTTGCAGGATAGCACACAAATTTCAAATCAATAAGGGGGTACAGATCATAAAATTAAAGAAGAAAGTGGTCTTCAAGAAAACTACTGCAACCACACAGAAAACTTACATATTAAGACAAACCACAATATTGACCAACAAAAATTGTTTCCTCATTGAAACAGATCAAAGGAAAAACTATGATTGATTAGGGAATGAAGTGTATGTGTGTGTATAACAAAGTACACATAACATTCACAATAATGTCCTCACTAACAATCCGAAAAATGACTGAGTTAAAAGCAAGTGTCTCACAATTTATCAGCAAACATTTAATTCCCTTGTGAGGTTGAAGTTATGAATAAACAGAACTTAGCTTTAAAAAATTAAGTTCCTCAAAAGTATTTGAGAAAGGCAAAAAAAACAACACCCTTTGAAATTACCCTTGTCCATATATGGTATAGAATACAAAGCCTGGAAATAAAACTGAAATGACACTACAACACATTTAACCCTCGCAGACAAGTATCGGTTATATCATAAAAGGCATGGGTTGATAGCCCAACCCCACATCTCATGCATCCAAAAATAATCTCCTCCCTTCAAACATGGAATTATAATAACAAAATGAGCAGTGAAACATTCCAGACTATCACTTCACATGGCATGTATGCCACGGAACATTGACAGGTAGAGTCATTAGATTTCACTCAATTGTTTCAAATTAAATTTCAAAAAGTCTTATATACAGACAAAACCAAGCGGTGTGCAATAAATGTCACAATTGGGCAGCTATATGAAAGGAAACTAACACCTTTCAATAACAATTAAGTACTTCATTCATATCACACCACAATCTCACAACAAAGCCAACTTAGAAATCTGTTGGTCAAAGAAGTTGAACTTGAAAGAAAAATATCATTAAGAAAATGTGGCGAGGGATGAAGCATCAACATGTGTTCATAATACTAATGTCTTACTATAAGTTTACACTAAATGACTTTGGGCAAGTGGTATCTCAAGCAGTAACTTGACATGATAATCCAATCCAAGCACAAAACTATGCACATTGGGTAGAGAACAGACAAATGATACTGACAAGTCAAACAAGGTTAACTCAAACAAGCCATAAGGTGCATACACAAAGTTAATTATTTTCACCTTTAGTAACCAAAGAGTTTGCAGCAGAATTTTGTTTGTTATAAAGGTGGTTAAAATTGATCAAATTAGGTTCTGAGGGAAACTTGGAAAAACACAAAAGGGAAGAAAACAAAATGTTAAAGACGTATGCCTCTTTTACAAGCAAATGAAAATATGGGGAGAAAGGGATTAAAAACTAGACCAAAAAAAAAGTCCGTTTGTTGGAAAGTAAACCATTACAGCCATTACAAACTGACATACATTATGAATTTAAATCATGGTTTTCCCAAGCTGACATAAGAAACTTCACAACCTCAGTCAATCACAAAGTTTCAGACCTATGCACTGTGCTCCAGACAATTCACAACAGAAACAAAAAATCTTTTGGAAGACCAATCTCATGAATAGATTCCTTACACAATCTTGCTGAATTCTGTCCATAGAAAAGCAAACAAATCTTTCGTTTTCTTACACTATCTGGGACTACCAAGAGTTTCAAGGGGCAAACCCATACACAAACGTTTCTCAAATGATTGAAAACAACAACAAATTAAAAAGGATAAAGCTCAACATGAGGTGGGCCAGCCATTCCTAAAAGGCAAAATAAAAAGATAAGACAGCAGTTCTTCTCCTTCCCAAAGTTTTGAAAGGGCTCCAAACAAAACACCAAGGAAAACACACAGCTAAGTTGGGTTAATAACATTAATTGTCAGAAGAACGCAAGCATGTAACACTTACACATATGTTAAAAGCAGAATTGATTCACAGGTTCAAAATTACAAGGAAATTTAAGTTCAGTAAAGAAACTGTTATGCAATACTCAGAAAACAAAAAAGAGAGACAATTAAATTAACATTGCTAAGACCCTACTTACTAACTTCCTCATAACATAAAATGTACAAAGGTTGTGAAAGCTTAAAACAGTCATGCACATAGGTGCTATAATTTGTTTTTATCTCAATTCTTTCTTATCTTTCTTTCGAGTGTTACAATAAACCTAAAGTCAGGTCTGAGCCGCAACAGAGATCTCTATTGAATGATTCACAGATAATACAGGAGTGGTTGATTTAAACAAGTACTGAAAGTATTCCAAACATATTTTTGGCACAGTGCAAAAATAAAACAAAGCGGAACACAGGGCAATGAAGCCTCAATGAAAACACTTCATGCAATCCGAATTGTATTATTCAAGAACACTAGACAAGATTTAATGACAGCAACCTAAATTTGAAGCTTAATTTTACTTGATGACAATGACTTTATGTAAAGTTTTCAAATGTGGAATATGCTCAGGATCAAGTCCAAGTCTTTTCTTTCTCGACACTTACTTGTGTCTTGGCATAGTTTGTTATCATCATTGATCTATTTATAAATGGAATTTTAGCCAGATTTGAAGCTGGCTAATATGAAAATGCAAATGATAAAAGCAGACCACATATGAAATAGGCCTGAAACCTGCACAATTCATCCATGCAGGTGGGAAAAGTGGGACTTGAGAGGAAAACATTTGAATTCAAGAAACCCATCAAATATCAGAGTGGAATATTTTTAACATTGATATGACAGTTACATGTTTTCTCAGAAAAGTTGGAATAATGCATCTTTCAGTTTACTTTGGCTCTACCAACCGATCAAACTAATACTTACGACAATAATAAAAATCGCCCTTCGACACAAAAGAAAATGTCACAGTTAACTATTTACATGTCCATGTTGTTGGCCTCCATTGGCTTAGTCTTTGCTATTTGATTCTTATTCTTACTCAGCAAAATTGGCACCCAGCATCTGGCTAGAGCACTTAATTATTGCAGATACTTTCAGCCCAGTTCTACAAACAAATGTAGTACTGATGTGATTTTAGCCATATATACACACACACAAACACACACAAAGAACAGAGTCAAGAAAAGGTAACAAATCATTGTCAGCCTTTGCAAACATCATAGCATTTACCCTCATTGATTACAGTCCTAGAGGAATAATTGAAATTAAATGCAGGTTCAACTGCCACTCTGTAGCACGCATGCTCCTGATACTAATTGTACAAAATGTCCTAACTCAGTTCCAAAGTATGAGCTCCCACTCATTTAACATCCATATTGAGTGTTTATAACTGAATTACAAAACTCAATTCATACCAAGAGCTACTGAGCTCACATTAATGTCTATTCAACCTAGGAGCGTCTTAATATAAACACAGCAAGTACACAAGTATTTAACAAATATCAACATCATATATTCATTCTCAAGATGTAGAAACATACCTGCAGATCATGTCATAGGATCACACACATTGAAACAAGATTAGAAATTCCTTGGTAAACCTACAAACAGTAAATGTAGACTGGGGGCACATGCCATCAGAAGATGAAAGCAACACGAATATTACAGGTGAGGTACTGGTGCCCCATTAACACTGGTTATAGCAAACTTCAAATTGAATTACACATGATTCAGCTTACAACAATATAATCAGATAAATTATTTCATTTTACAAAATGTAAATAAAAGCACAAAAAGAAATCGCCCTTAAAAATACATTCATTGTTTGAATTTTTTTGCATTATTAAATATATAAGACTTTTGTAACACTTATTTTTAGAAGAAAATAGACAGCCCCATATACAGCAGAGAGTGCAGAACATAAAAATGAAAATGACAACCATCGAAAATTTGTTCCTGCATTGCAAAAAAATTACAAACTATCAAGTCTGCTGTCTGACTGAACATACCTGAGAAAAAGAACATCTAATCACCCAGTGACAAAACAAAAATGCTATATAAACTTGTTGGTTGACTGAGCTTATGCAAGGTAAAACAATGGGTGAACTTCAACATAGACTGGTCTTGTAATCCTCGCTCACTAGTATGAAATTCCATAACATTAGGAAATCACAGTCACTAAAAATAAGATGGCAGAGAAGAGTTCACCTCAATCCTAGCAAAATTCATTGAGGTGCAGATGAAACACTGGGCACTCCCCTCAGACGACAGAAGCAGTCTGACCAGGCTCAAAATTCACATCAACTGTGCCAAGGCCTTATTCATCATTTCTAGCATCCAAATCACAATGAAAAAAAAAGTAAGAACACAAAGGAACACCTGCAGGGCACCCTTCAGCATGTGGTTTCCAAGGTGCCCTGGGCAGAACCTGCCGCGCCTGCCTCAGCAGTGGACCGCTTGCTTGACTTGGGTTTGCTGGGCTTGCCGCTTTTGCTTGCCTTGCCAGCATTTGGAGCGACTCGAGTCGGGGTGGGGGATCTCTGGGATCCCTGAGAACCTTGAGAGCCAAGAGATCCCTGCGACGCCCGAGATCCGTGAGAGCCCTGCGACGCCCGAGATCCTTGCGAACCCTGGGTTACCTGAGATCCTTGGGAGCCCTGAGACGCCCGAGATCCTTGCGAACCCTGCGACGCCCGAGACCCTTGAGAACCCTGGGTTACCTGAGATCCTTGAGATGCTAGAGATCCTTGAGAGCACTGGGATGCCTGAGAGCCATGGTGGCTCGGGGGCCTTTGGGGGGTGAGGTATTTGGCTACTAGTCTGTCCACTGCGGTGGGTGCCAACATGTCCACGGCGACGGGGTCGCGCGACGACGGCGTCCTGAGCAGCCAGACGGGTTCGAGGCCCTGGCCGTGGCCCCTGAAGCGGTGGTCGGAGACGGAGACGCTCTCGGCCGAGGCCGCCCCGGACAAGCAGGTGGAGTTGCAGGAGCCCACGGCGGACCCCGAGCTCACGCCGGAGCTGGAGCTCCTGACGGAACCCGCGGCCTTGCCGGCGTTGTCCGCCGCGCCTTGAGCCGAGCGTCGCCGGCGGCGGGGTGACCTGGGGGAGCGCATCCGGGGGGAGCGGGCGGCGCGCGAGTCGCAGGGGGCGTCGGGGGGGCCGTCGGGGGGGCCGTCGCCGTCCTCGCGTTGCTGGCGGGCCTGGCGGGCTCTACCAGCCCCGGCAGGTTGAGGTGCCGGGGCTGGGGCGTGCCGCTAGAGCAGCTTCTCCGTCACGGACCCTGTCGTCGTGTCGCTCACCGTCGTCTCCGTCTCCGTCGTCGTGGTGGCCGACGACGCCCCGCCGGCCGGGAGCAGCTGTCAGTTGACGAGCTCCTCGGACACGAACTGCTTCAAGCGGGTCAGGTACGCCCCGAACAGCTCCACGTCGTTGTGCCCGGCCCCCTGCAGCAAGCAGCGGCAATGTTAGCAAGTTGGAACGGAGAGGCCAAGCTCCCTGTAGGCGATGTTGTCCTCACCTCTACCCACAGTGGGTCCACCGCACGAGGACAGCTCTTGTAGATGTTGTAGCCATGGGAGAAGTCGATCACCTCATCCTCTGTGCCGTGGATTACGAGCACTGGAGAAGTGACTTTAGGAACCTTGTCGATGCTGCAAATGGGAGACCTCAAATATAGTCACTGAATCAACTCTTGTACACTTTCAGAAACGATCCCAATTTAAGTCATGTGTACCTCGGAAAGGCATCGAAAAACCAAGTCCGCTTTGTGTTGGGGAACGCCACTCTCATTCCAGACATGAGAGGGGAATGAAGAATGACAGCACCTACTTCATACCGTGCCGCCAGGTCCACGGTGGGTACTGTGCCAATGCTTTGGCCATACAAGATGATGTTCTCAGGACTGATGCCATATCGAGTCCTCAGCGAATGCCATGCAGCATCAATGTCAGCGTACAGGTTCTTCTCTGATGGCTTGCCTGTGCTGACTCCATAACCCGAATAGTCATAACTAAAAATGTTACAATTGATCCTGTTGCCCAATCCCCAGTAGAAGCTGCTCATCTGTCCCAAATCAACAGCATTGCCGTGGGAGAAAAGGATGGTGAACCTGCAAAACAAAGAAACATTATTATCTTATCATTCAACAGTAAAAGATTAAGTGGGTTAGGCTAACAGGGGACACTACTGAAGATCACAGCAGCTTATCAAGAATGTAATGAAGAATAAGGAAACAAAACAATAATCAATTTGTTTCAGAAAACATATTGTAAAAAGCAGAGTTTTGACGATGTTTTGCATGAATTGATTGCAAGACAGAGACAAGCTTAATGTCATGGAATGGATACTTTCACACAACAGAAGAAGAGCTGAAGAACAATGAAAATTTTCACACAGGTAAAATAGATTTAGAGAGCAAAACATAAACAACAAACCTTGCATTGGGGGAGCAGCGGACGAAAATACAACCGATCTTGTTGCCCCTTGAGGTGCGGGCGTAGAAACCTTCGATGTTCTCTCGCTCCCTCTCCGAGTGCTGCCACTCGGCCTTCTCGGTGAAATGCATCGAAAATTTGGTTCCGCTTTCATCTGCATGATAGCTGTACGTGGCCTCCGGGGGTAAAAAGGCCAATTTGGAAGCAATACGCGACGGACAGGGGGGACAGCACAGGAGGCAGCAAAGTTCACTTAGTGCAATGCCGTTCATGGTGGCGATACCCAAACAAAAAGAAACTTCCACAAAACTCTGCTGACCGATTCTCCTATTCGAACGCGCAAGAAGTAAACTAAATGTCCATTATTAATCAGCCATGACAGTTGTTGAGGTTGTAGGTACAGGCCCAGCCATGAATGCGCTTCTGTCTGTCCGTCCGTCTGTCTCTAGATGACTGTCTAACTGTCCGTCTGTCCACCCAACGCCATACCAACCCTCCGCCGCAAAAAAAACAAGATGGTTTAAGCGTGAGAACCGCAACTGTCGCTTAATCTCTGGATGCTGAACAACCAATAAATAAAATAAAGTAACACAAAACAGAAAAATTCACACGAGTCTTGAAAAATATTTCAATGTCAGTAACTCAGTCACACCGCGGGTCATTCCATCACATCTTCTTCTTTGTAATGAAGCATATGATTCACTTCAACCTTATCTCTTGGGAATCATCCAATGCGCATACTCACTCTAATCGTTCGTCTCAACTGACCTCTATGTTAGGAAACTGACGAAATGCATTTAAAAAGTCTAGAAACGTACCTTTCAATTTCTCATTCCTTTTCATGACCTCTCAATTTTTCATAGAACGCCCAAAAAACCCAAACAAGAACAAAAAAGAATTTGCGCGCGATCCAGTCATAAAGATTGTTTGTGTTTCGCGATTTGCGAGTTACTTCCCCGCTTTAGAGGTGTTTGATGACTTGTCCGTTTTAGGCTCCATGAAGTTATCCAGCTCCGCATCCTCTTAGTGCAGTGTGGCTCGGTAGGTCTACGTGTGTTTTTGCGGTTCGTTGATGTGCCGATTTGCCTAACCTCTTCCAAGCTCTAGGCTTCCCCGTCAGATTCGCTCTTAAATTTCAGTTTGGAATTTGATGACCACGAAATGCTATATTCCATGGCCCTCTTTTCATGATGCGTTCTTTGGTCGTGCTTTGAAAGCTGTTTTTTTTACCTTTGTAGGTTAACGTTTGTTAATTAAGATTCTACAACCCTGTTGTTGTCATGAAATATTTTTTTGTATGGTTAACACAGATACAATTTTGTCTTTGCTTCAGATTTCCATCATGTTTCGGCGATTGCTAGATGCAGCGTGCTTCTTCCCTTGTCGCAGTCAAGGATGAGTTCTCATACACCACCTTCTCCCAAAACACCGCCCCGAAAGAATCTATCATGGAGGCATCATGGTTCTCCTTCCCACATCGACAGTCCAGGATGCTGCTCCACTCCAAGTACATCCAAGAAGCTAAATGGTTTATCTCCTGGTCGGAAAATCCTGTGGGAGAAAAGGTCACCCTCCAAACACACCAAACTTCTGGGGTCACCCATAACCAAGCATCCCTGTTCTCCACAAGATTCGAAGTCTTTTAAAAGCTTTCAGTCAACGTCAAAAGATACTGATGCCTCAGATTTGTCTTGTAGTTTGTCAAAACATGTAAATTCAACAGACCCCTCATGGAGTAAAAGTTTCTCCAGTGCTGAAAGCAATGGCACTGTGACTGTTGAATTGGATTTCCCTCATGGTGGCTGGGATGAGGACAGCTCCAACGAAGACTCGCCTGGCAGTTTGGAAATAGTTGAATCTGATGCAGAAAGCCACGCTTCCCCTAATCAGAGGGGCAGAAAAAGGAAGCAGTCTGAGGTGTCTGAAGAAGACAATGCTATTTTGAGTGGGATGGGGGAAGAAATTGAAAGACAGCTTGAAGCTAAGGCCGAGAGAAATCGTTTAACAGTACCCAATGTTAAAAACATTCTAAGGAGTGTCATTACAAATCCATATGTTCAAGCTATGGTCAGGAGAAGCATCAAGTCTGGTGACGTTGCTGTATCCGGGGACTCTGATGACTTGTCATTTGAACCAAGATTAACCAGAGCCAAGGCAAGACTTCTCTGTGACAGCAATGAATCCAGTTATTCAGAAGTGCAGTGGGTTGGTACTCCACACAAAACCCCCTCTGGATCAGAATGTCAGGCTCTCATCAATGAAGAAATGAATGATGACTCGGAAGATGATGAAGAGTACCACCCTGGTGAGGATGAGCCAAGTGACAATGATTGCTCTGAACGTGATGGATCGGAAAGGGACATTTCCTTAGATCAGCAATCTCCCGCAAACTTTGATTTGGACACTGATTCCTGCCCAGCTACGCCAAATCCGTCTCCCAAACCTCTAATTACGGATTCTGCCACCCAAACAAACTGGTCAGAGGACGGAGTCTTCAAAGTGCCCATGGTTAGTTTGCCATCACATTTCATTGTCAAATTTATCTTATTTTCTTGAATGCATTCAAATAGTAATGGTTTTTTTCTTTCCAATCCACAGGCACCTTCTGAATTGCAGCTAGATCAAAATACTGAAGAAAATATTGCTTTACGAACTCGTTCAAAACTGCCTCTCAATGATACTCCTTTAGAGGAAATAGAACAAGCATTTATTCCTCCAGACATAACTCCTGACCTATATGACACTACTTGTGATAATGCAGATTGGCAAGAATTTTTGAAGGAATTTATGCAGCCCATGAGATCAGGTTTGTATTGTTTGGTAGTTGCTATTTTTGTGTGTCTATTTTTATATATATTTGATAGGGTAAGCCTAACAATTCATGTCTTTTGTTTCTTTCCCCTTGTATAGAAGTTCAAAACCCCGATGATGATGAGGAAGACCCAGAATACAATGTCCTTGCCGAGGAAGAGATAAGTAAGTGCCTTTGAGTGCCTAATCCTTTTTCCACTCTCAAAAATATTTTGAAAATCCTTTAACGAAATTCGCATTTTCTTTCCATTACAGTTGACAAGGAGGAGCTGCGTAGGGACAGAGCTGTCAAAGTTTCTAAGAGAGAATTGAATGAACTAATGAGAGAACTTCTCGAGTTTACTGAAAACTTTTCCAGTGAGGATGAGGATAAGGATAAAGATGGGGATAAGAAGCAGACTGCCAAACCAGCCAGCCCTCGTGCACTGTCTCCTCGATTGTCTACCAGCCCGAATGGTAGCAATGAAGATATGTCCATCCTACTGGATGCCTATATGTCACTGGGCACTCTGGCACCGCTAAAGACCACACCCCCTCCTCCAAGAAGTCCCAGCAATACATCTCTTCACACACCTGTACCACCCATGAGCCCACCTTGTTCAAGAACACCAAATACTGGGAAGAAGGGTCACCACAATGACTTGAGTTTTAATGTGGACTCTACCTCACTATCGTCAAGTGGTTATCATTCTGGAGGGAAAGGAAAATCAGTTTATCAGTCTCCTGGAAAGAAGAAAAATTTTCCTCAAACTCCAGGTAAACCAGACAACTACCCACACTCTAGTGGAAGCCGAAGTGGGAAGAAGGAAAGAACAGGCTTCACTCCTGGAAAACCGGACAGCTTTACCCCAAAGAAGTCGCATGTATTGGCAACTCCGGGGAAATTGGACAATCACCCAAGTTACTCTAATAAAAGCTCAGGAGAATTGAAGGGTAACCTGTCACATAGCAGAGGAAAATTGGACTCTTATCTAAATGCCATTAATGACAACCATGGCAATTCATCAGAGACCTTCTTTTACAATGATGACCCAAATGTTGGAATGGTGGGAAATAATGTGGCAGTACCAGTCACTAGCAATCAGTATGGTGGGAACACAGATGTGCTCTTCTCTCCTGGAAAGAATTACCTGGTTCTGAACTCAAGTACAGACTGGGATAAACCTGGTGAAACAATTGGCAATTCAAGTCATCTGTCTGCTGAGGTAAGTTTCCTCTCTAGATGGCATTTGGGGGGTTTGTCAGCATGCATGTGGCTCAATCTTCACAGCAATTAGTTTTCGTCATCCTGTAGTTGTTTGAAGTTGTAAATTTTCATGTGGCTCACAAACCCGGTGAAGCTATTGAATAGAAAGCTATCGCACAATTTTGGCGATAAGCGTGAACCGGGAAGCGGCCTACCCCAGCCTTCTCGAGGCGTGAGCTGTTTTTAACTGATGGGGAAAAGGCACATTCTATCATTTCCAACCCTAAATCTTTATTTCATTTTAAATCCTGCCACATTTGGTCATTTTCAATCATCTTAATTGCTCATATCATGTGAGTGAATTAATTACAGTGCACCATTCAATTATTTAATCTTTATTGTAGATGTGTAAATCTTTCATCTCTGTCTCCTTCTATGTATTTACCTCTCTTTTTGTTCATTAGGAAATTCAAAGCAGTGATGACAACACTTGGAGCAATTCTGTTGTTGGCATTAATACATGTGAGACTCTGTCTGCTCAAGCAAATGAGGAAGAGCAGAAGGAGCCTTCATCTGTTGAAGAAGACGACCCAGAGTTATCTGTTAGTTTGCCTGCTTCAAGCCCTCCCCATTCTCCAGTACCTGGAGTAACTTCTTGGAATGTTTACAATGGAGAAGCTCATTTATCTGCTCAAGGAGATGTATTGGTCAACAACACTGTGGTCCTGAGTTTTGCCCAAAGGCACGTTTTGGATCAGCAAATGAGGCAATATGTACAACTGATGACGCAACACTTCCTTCAAACTTATGAACATCCTGTGTACAATGATTATTCCTCTATTTGTAAGAAGCAATTGGTAGGAATCTGCTTTTTCTTTTCCTTCCATTACTTTCCTCTTTTAACCCTCACCACTCTATTGTGTAATTATTCCTTTTGCTAGGTTTCATTGGATACAATGGCAGCAGAAAAAAGAAAATCAGCTTTCAGATCAGCAAATCTTACACCAGCATTGGAATTGGTTGACAGGTGGGAAAAGATGATACAGTCAGAAGAAGGAACAGCAATTACTGGGTAAAACACATAATATGAACTTGTATTCAATTTCATTCTTTCATCTTGTTACTAACTTTTATTTTTTTTGTTTCTCCTGGCAGCTTTGTTGAACAGGAAATGGCTCGTGCGTAAGTGTCTTGGGAAGCTGTTCCTCTTTGTTATCTCAATATATTATTTAATAAATATTCCATTCTCTTGACTCTTGATTTTTGTTTGAACAGTAAACGTGTGAAGAATAGGAAAAACAGATACTGTGAGAGGTTTAGTCCCCAACTAATGAAAGAAATAGTTGATAGTCCTGCCTTCATATATCCAGAGCTCCTCCCTCACATGCCATTCAGGACAGTTGAGATGCAGAAAGTTATGATGGTGCTATCTGAAGAGCAGTAAGTCTTCAAAATTCACCTTGAGTGTATTTTTATAGTACATCTTATATAATAAAATATTATTTTTTGCCCCAGCCTCTTGGCTATTGGTCTAGAAGAATTTACAGAGTTTATCGCAGAGAACAATCCAAGTAAGAAGGACAAATGTCTTCGTTGGGCAATGTCTCTTGTTACTGAGTATCTTCTTATTGGAAAAAACCCAAAAAATCTTTATGATTACCTACGCAAAATGAAAAGGCGTAACAGTCCATTGTCGGTGAGTTCTGATAACATGTGCACTCATGTATTTCAGATCTTTAACCAAACCGTTGTTTTGAAATTATATTTTTATCTTTTCCTATTGCAGCATTTTTTGGAAACGAAGTGTGCCCCTGAAACCCAGCATTTCATCAAGCCTTTCAATGAGCAGCACATGCTATCAATTAGGGAAAGACCCAACTGTGTACTTCCATTAATTTGGCGGGACTTCATCCATCCTGCTCTTGATACCCTGAAAACAAGGAAGAACAAGTCAGGAGATTAAATTTAGCATGTATTTTTTTTCAAGAAATGCTGTTATGGACTGAACTTAGTCAATTTGAATTATTATTTTTTTCTCATTTTTGAAGTTTACATTGTACTTACATATATGGGCATCTATTTGCGCATGTTTTAATACTCTAATTATAATGATTAAGCTATATTTCCTATTAAACTATTGGAACACCTGTGATCAGTAGGAATGTGGGTGGTTAAATTTTGTGCTCTGTGACTTATTTCTGTAGGAAGGATTAATGCCAAATACTGCCAAGAAGATGATGTAACCTGACTGAATGTAGGATATGCTGTAATATAATAGTTGTAATTTTTTAAATTCCATATTGAAGCTCAGAGAAGACTACTCAAGGCTGTGAAATAATCCTCTCGAGGATTTGCATGTGTAGTAGAATTTATGTCAAAACATCTATTTTGAATATCTATTTTCTTCACTTCTACTATGACCCTAGAATAATGAGATAGGTATTTCATTTTATTGTAATAAACTCCTACATGAAATGAACAGTTGTCCAGATTTTTCCCTCCTCGCACCCAACACTGAATCCGACAATGCTGGACATTGCAGTGCAGCCTTTGCACATTGGGGCTCACAACGCCACTTTGGGGAGCCATTCAACCTATAAGAAAAGCGAGCGCTAGGGTCTAGATTCACTGAGACCGGCGAAATGCCCTCGTCCTGAGACATGACACGTGCAGCGCGCAGATTTAGACCTGCCCCGCGTTTGAAACTGGCGCCACGACAGTCCGTGGTGGTTCGGCGCGCGTCCGCCAGAGGGCGGCACCAAGGGGCGCGACGGCGCGAGCGCGAATTTGCTCAGTTGTCCGCCAGGCGGGGGAAGGACAGCACGGGGGTGATGTGCGGCACGGGGACGCGGCCCGAGCGCCGAGCGTCGGCCTCGCGAGCGTAGACACGCGTCGCATGCAGAAGGACGGCAGGAAGAAGAAGGAGGAGGAGAAGAAGTGGGGAAGGCGACCAGAGGGGCCAGAGCCGTCGCCGCCACGCCGCGGACCCCCGCGGGGCTAAAATAAAACTGTCGCCGGTGTCGCGTCCCCCGCGCGGCGGCACGGCGGCGGCCCTCCCAGTGCACGTACTCGGCGGTGGCGGTGCGCACGCCGAGCACAGGGCCGCGACGGCCACGTCGACGGCCTCGAGGGCCTCGAGAGAGGCGAGGATGCCCGCCGATGTTCGCGCTGCTGCAGGCACTGCAGGGGCCGCTGGGGCCTCCACGGCCTCGACCCCGATGGCGGCGAGCAGACCGAGCTGACCAGTGACGAGGGGAACATGGTGTCGACGATGGCGGCCGCGGTGGCGCTGCTCGCGGTCGCGTGTCTGCTCCCGGCCGCCGCCAAGACCACCACCACCGTGCCCACCGTCTCTTTGCGGAGGTTAGTGTCACGGTTGGAGGAGGGGGAGGAGGGGGTCTCGCTCAGCTCAGCAGGGCGTGCCCGCGGATTTCGGAAAGTTTACTCGAACGCGCTTCGTGCTTCGCGCTTGGGTTCGGATTAGCGACTGCCTTTTGTGCCGCGTTGTGTTGCGCGGCGTGCCGTTGTTCCGTTTCCTGTCTGGGTGACGTCATCCTGCCCGCCTCCATTCCAGTGACTGGAGGCTCCCAGCCGATTTCCATCAGCATTTCAGCAATGTGGGTCTCTGGGGCGGCGGATTGGAGAGGGGGGGGACTGCGCCAGCCTTGCAATCAGGGGAAGGGGAGGGGGCGGGGAGGCACTCCAGATTTTCGGGGCAATACGTGGTTGGCTCGCGAAGCCAGCGAAGCCAGCGCAGCACAGTGGGCCAGAAGACCGGTGGAGGCGGCCAAAACTCGAGACGCGTTTTGAGCTCCAGAGTCGCTAAATGGGACTCGAACCGAACGTGTGACCCCATGGATTGATCTACGAACGAGGAATCCATTGGTGGGGTCACACCCGTAATGGTAATGGGGGGTACGCCGGGATAAAGTGTCACCTTAGTAAGGACGGCCATGTCTCGTTTTGCAGTGCAGGCGGGCATGTGTCGGGCCCGAAATGGCATACGATCAATTGTGGTCTAGCCCTTAATGGTAATGGTAATGGTAATGGGGGGTATGCAGTCCGCCATGCAGGCCTGTCCGCGGGACTGCATACCCGCACGGCGTTTCTGGGAAATGATGAATGAAAAATGGCATTTTGCTAAGTTTGCGTTGGTTGCAGCTCCCCGGTGGACCGTCTGCAGAATGTGACGCAGACCATCTCTCGTGTCCTGGAAGGCTACGACATTCGGCTGCGTCCCAACTTTGGCGGTGAGGATCATCGGAGACTTGCACTTTGTTGCTGTCGCTGATAATGTTGATGTTTTTTATTTTTTTATTTGATTTCGACTCCCTGTATGTTTGCAGGCGATCCCCTTTACGTGGGAATGGACCTGACCATTGCAAGTTTCGACTCCATTTCCGAAGTCAACATGGTGAGCCCTTCCCCCGCTGAAGCTTCAGCCAGTGGCCCGGCTGGGCGGCCCGGCCCCAGCCAATGAAATCACAGCTAATGGGCGTTGGGGAACCTGAGTCCAGCCGGGATCACCCCAGAGGGTCCGGCAGACTCGGCAGACGAGACGGCCAAGGGAAAGGGGGAGGGGGCACCTCGAAAGAGCTGGACAGCGGGACAAAAGAGGGGAGGTTTTTCCCGCTGGAGGCGGTTCATGTAAAGCCTGGGCCAGGTGATGCCATGCAGGTGTAAGGCGAGCCAGAGCAATAACAAATCCTCGGGGCCCATCCCAACCCCTGCCTGCCTCCCTCCCTCTTCCTCTCTCTCTTCCTTCCGGGCACTACCACGCTGAGTGAGGTTAGGGTTAGTGGAGGCCTGCTGACTCGACGGAGCGGGAGGGGGAGGGGGGGGGGTCGCATGGCACAGGCACACACCTAAGAGGACCGCTTTCCAGTCCCACTCCTTTAAAAGAGGAGGGAAGGTGGGGAGGGAACCTTTGTGAGGTCCTTATTGGTGGGCACCCCTCCTCTTATTCGTGTCCGCGCGGAGACAGGAGTCCTCGCCCCCCTCCCCCTCCCCCGTCATCCTCTCTCCCCGCCTGATGTTGTCTGCCGTCTCGCCCCCTTGACTGGGGCGGGGGAGGGGAGGGTGGGGGAGGACCAAGCTAAATCAGAGGCATCATAGCGTCTGCCTGGCGGCCCTGGCGGCCCCGGCGGCCCCGGCGGCGCGGCCTTTTGGAATGGAGAGCTTTAGCCCGCCACCGCGTGGTTCCGTCACGACCAAGTTCATTCCACTGCTCAAAAACTAAACGCCTTGTGATCCGGCGCGCAGGACTACACCATCACCATGTACCTGAACCAGTACTGGAAGGACGAGCGGCTGGCCTTCAGTTCCGGGGAGGAGGTGCTCACGCTGTCGGGGGACTTCGCGGAGAAGATCTGGGTGCCCGACACCTTCTTCGCCAACGATAAGAACAGGTGAGGCTTTCGCTCTCTCGCACTCACGGGGCGCAGGTGTGGGTGCGAGAGAGACAGAGTGTCGTCGGGGAGGTGCTGGAGGGCGTGTGGCGGCCCCGCAACAAAGACGCCCTCATGTTGACCATTTCCCGGTTGCGGGCGCCCTTGCGGCCCTTGGGCTGCCGGCCGCTGCCGAAGGGCCTCGCTCTGTCTCTCTCGCACCGACGGGCACCCGACGGGACGCCCCGCGAGTGCGAGAGAGACAGAGCGACGCGCGCAGGCGCTGCACGTCCCTGCTTATCGACGGGGACAATGGCGAGATTTCCAGAGCGACGCAGACGGCGTCTGTAAGCAGAGCCGGGGGGGGGGGTGTAAGCTGCCTGCCCCGTCGGCCCGGCGCACAGTGGGCCAGAAGACCGGTGGAGGCGGCCAAAACTCCAGACGCGTTTTGAGCTCCAGAGTCGCTGAATGGGACTCGAACCCTGGACCTCCGGGTCGTTGTGTTGCAGCTTCCTGCACGACGTGACGGAGCGCAACAAGCTGGTGCGTCTCAACGGGGACGGCTCCATCACCTACGGCATGCGGTTCACCACCACGCTCGCCTGCATGATGGACCTGCACTACTACCCGCTCGACAACCAGAACTGCACCGTGGAGATCGAGAGCTGTGAGTCCCGATAGGGCCAAAGACTTTGCTTAGTGTAGTGCTGCAGTGGCGTTGCCGCGTCCACCCTTAGACGGCCGTTGACGAACGTGGCGGGATTTGGCGGCCAAATGCGGCGGGTCGGGGCGTCGGGGCGCGTGGCGTGGGGCGTTGGGGGCAACAATAGCCTCTCCTCTCGCAGCGCGGCGCGCGGCCGGTTGACTGACTGGTTGGCGCCGTTGGCGGGAAATCGTCCTCGTTCCTTATACCCGGCCGCGCCATGGAGCTCGAGACCGTGATCGAGGACGACTACGTCGACGTGGAGTCCACGGACGAGCCCGCGGCGTCCGCGTCGCGGAGCAGCACCAGGGTGGCCAGGTTGGGCAGGAAGCGGCCCATCCGGAGGAAGAAGAAGAAGGCCACGCCGGTGGCGGAGCCGGCCGAGGAGGCCGTCGAGCCGCCGGAGCCCGTGGACTCGTACACGGCCCTGGTGGTCGACTTCGAGGCGGCCATCGACGACCTGGCTCAAGTGGGTGCGCGCTGCTCGTCGCGCGGTGAGAAAACGCGTGCCTCGCCGGGTTTCGAACCCGCCACTTGCTTGCGCAGCGCGAGGGGCTGGAGAACCTCCACACCGAGTTCGCGAGGGTGTTCCGGCGCCTGGAGGAGACGCGGCAGCGCGAGGCGGACCTGGTGGCGCGGGTCGCGCAGCTCGACGCCGACCTGGCCCAGGAGAAGGCGCGTGCCGGCCGGGACGCCGCGCACGGCGGGGCGCGGTGGCGGGCCGAGCAGGCGCGCGCCGACGCCGTCAAGGCCCTGGAGGAGGAGGTGGCCGCCCTGAGGGAGCAGTGTGACCTGGCCGCCACCAGGGAGCACGCCGCGCTCGAGACCCTGGACGGCGTGCGCCGCCAGCTGCTGCAGGCCCAGCAGGAGGTCCGCGCCTCGCGCGGCATGGGGGAGGAGATCCAGGCAAGGCGGGGTGGGTCCCGGACCACGCCCAGGACAGTGTGGCCACACTGTGGCTGCATCCGGGCACAAATCCCCTGAGTGGTGGACGCCTTCCCGCAGGACATGGCGCACGAGAAGAGGGTGGTGCGGCTGGCGCGCGAGCGCGACCTGCTGCAGGTCAAGCTCGACGGGCTGCAGGACCGGCTGCAGAAGTCGCAGGCGCTGCAGGAGGACCTGCAGCACCGCGCGTCCGCGACGGACCTGCGCCTGGCGGAGGCGAAGAAGGCCCTGGAGCACGAGACGGACCGCAAGCAGCGCGAGATGGACGCGCGCGCCACGCTGGAAACCGAGTACCGCGCCATGCAGTCCGAGCTGGAGGCCAAGAAGAACGAGCTGAGCCACGCGGCCATGCAGCACCGCACGGCCGCCGCCAGGGCCAGTAGGCTGGAGGCCACCGTGGCCGAGCTCACGGACGCCAACGACAGCCTGACCAAGGAGTCGGCCGAGCTGGCGCAGCGCGTCGCCGAGCTCAAGTCGCTGCTGCGGCGCCGCAACGTGGACCTGGAGAACGCCGTCACCAACTGGCAGGACGCCACGGCCCAGCTGCACCAGGTGGAGGGCGGCCTGTCCGCGCTCGAGTCCAAGGTAGGCCTGGGGACGGCCACTGCGGACACAGAGCTTGGCCGCCACGCCACTGTAACCGCTAGTCGGCGACCGCCAGGTGAACGCGTCGGAGAGCCTCAACAAGGCCCTCGGCGCCGACCTGGACAAGGCGCGGTCGCGCGTCGCCACCGTGCTGCTGGACACGGCGCGAAGCAGGCTCGAGGAACGCACGCTGCAGCGCTCCCTCAACGAGACCAAGATGGACCTCGCCGCGCAGGAGCAGGCCGTGCGCGCGCTGGCCAGCACCAAGGACACCCTGGAGAAGCGCATCAAGCGCCTCACCACCGAGCTCAACGGCCAGGTCAGCCGCCAGCTCCAACCGAACGTGTGACCCCACCAATGGATTCCTCGTTCGGAGAGCAATCCATTGGTGGGGTCACACGCTCGGTCCGAGTCCCAGCGACTCTGGAGCTCAAAAGCGTCCGGGATTTTGACCGCCTCCACCGGTCCTCTGGCAAATCCACTGTGCAGCGGATGGCCGCGGCGCTGCTTGTAAACCCTCCCCCCTCCGGCCCGCGCCGTGCCGCAGGTGGACGTGGTGGCCAAGAAGAACGTGTACATCAAGGAGCTGGAGCGCTGCATCGAGGCGGGCCGCGTGGCGCAGGAGCGGCTGGGCCAGCAGCTGGACGCCATGCGGCGCGCGCGCCAGCGCCTGGACGGCGAGCTGACCACCATGCGGCGGCGCGCCGAGGGCGAGGCGGAGTACGCCTTCTGCGAGCGGCAGGAGGCGGTGCGCTGCAAGCGCGACCTGGCGCAGTGCGAGGACAAGGTGGCGGCGCTCAAGCTGCGCCAGGACGCCAACGAGCGCACCACCGTGGTGCTGGGCCGGCAGGCCGCCGCCGCCATCGAGCGCGAGGACAACATGCGGGAGCAGGTTCGAGCCGCGTTCGTTGGGGCGCTTCTTGGCCGGTTTCTGGCAGTACAGCGTGTGCCCCGGCCAGGTCAAGGAGCTGACGTCGCTGACGGAGCAGCTCAAGGAGGAGGTGCTGAAGCGCGAGCACGAGGTGCAGGAGGAGAAGCACCGCCGCGAGGCCAGCGAGGTCGCGCAGGCCCAGGTGCTGGCGCAGGTGGACCGCCTGCAGGCCGAGGCCGCCAGCCGCCGCGAGGAGATGGCCGACCTCCGCCTCGAGCTCAAGGAGAGCGAGGCCGCGGTGCGCGACCTCACCGCCGACCTGGACGCCGAGGCCAAGGTCAAGGAGGCCGCCCTCAACGAGAGGGACATCTTCGGGACGCAGGTCTCGCGCCGCAACGACGAGATCAGGCTGCTGCGCCTCAAAGTGCGTCTCGAGGTTCCCGGGTTCGAATCCCGGCCAAGGCCGTTGTTTTTCACCACGCTCGGCGCGCCCAGGTGGACGTGCTGGAGCGCGCGCTGCAGGCGGGCGGCCGCGAGCTGGGCTGCACGGAGGAGGCCGTGCGCCTCCTCAAGCTGGAGGTGCGCCGGCTGCGCTGGGAGAGGACGCTGCTGGCGAGGAACATCGCGGCCATGCCCCGCCTGGAGCAGGAGCTGTACCACGCCGTGCAGGTGGGCCGTCGGAGGCCGGTGGAGGCGGCCAAAACGCGTCTAGAGTTCTGGCCGCCTCCGCCCACTGTGCGTCACCCCCGCTGCCACCTCCACGCCCCGCCCCCCGCCCCCAGGACCTGTGCCGCACGCAGCACCTGGCGCGCGCCCTGGAGGACGAGCTCTCCACCCCCGTCAACTTCCACCGCTGGCGGCGGCTCGAGGGCAGCGACCTGCCGCACCTGGAGGCGCTGGCCAAGGTGCGCCTGCTGCAGCGACGCCTCATCGCCAAGTCGGAGAACATGCTGGTGCAGGAGGCGCGCATCCGGGAGACGGAGAAGCTGTACCTGCAGCTGAGGGAGTCCTGCGCGCGGCAGCCGGCCAGCCCCACCGCGGTGAGGGCTCGAAGCAACGCGAGGCAACGCGAAGCACGGCGTCAAGTACACGACCCAGGTTGACGACCGCCCTCTGACCCGCAGCTGCTGATGGCTCGGGCCGCGCTGCACCACAAGCAGCGCAAGATCAAGGGCCTGCTGGCCGAGGTGACGCTCAGCGAGTCGGCGTACACGCAGCTGGAGAAGGCCAACAAGGAGATCAGCAAGCTCAAGAGCGCCTCGAAGCAGCCCAAGCTAGCCCGACTGCCGATCGCCTCCGCCAGTTGACAGCGGCATTCGCGTCCCTCGGGCTTGCTTCGTCTCGACCTGTCAGTGACTGGCCAAGGCCGAGTCTCGGTCGGCGCCCTGTCCAGCACCGGCCTGGTGGCCGCACCACTCTGTGCACCCATTGACTGCGAGATGCCATCGTTCCATTTTATTTCTTGATTGCGCCAGTCGCGAATTTTAAACGGTTCGACCGCATTGACGTTAGTGCTCGATTGTTGTTTAGTGTTAAATAAAAGCCCTTTTGACTTAGGAACACTTTACTCGGAGTGGCGTTTTCGCGCGCCAAGCGAAACAATGACCCCCCCACCAATAACAATCGTCCCCACAGTCGCGTAGCAAATCCCCCGTTCAACTTCCCCATTCAGATTCCTCCATTGGCAGCCCGCTTGGGCGCGGCCCCGGTCCCACCCCCGCAGTCGCCATGCTGCCCCACAAGAAGGACAGCAGGTCGAAGAGCCCGCAACGCCCCGCCGCGGGGGAAGGGGAGGGCGACGCCGCCCCCCAAGAGCCCCCCAAGTCCCCCAAGTCCCCCAAAACTCCCAAGTCCCCCAAGTCGGCCAAGTCCCCCAAGTCGGCAGGTCGCAAGAAGAGTAAGTCGCCAGCGGGCCGCAAGAAGAGTAAGTCGCCAGCGGGCCGCAAGAAGAGTAAGTCGCCAGCGGGCCGCAAGAAGAGCAAGTCCCCAGCCGGTCGCAAGAAGAGCAAGTCCCCGAAAGGTCGCAAGAAGAGCAAGTCCCCGAAAGGTCGCAAGAAGAGCAAGTCCCGGAGCCGCAGCCGCAGCCGGCGCTCTGACAAGCCTCCGGACCTGGCCGCCGAGCCGGAACCGGAGCCATGGCAGCCGCGCAGGGCGTCGCAGGTGCCGGACTACGAGGCCATCCACGTGACGGAGTCCCTGCTGCCGCTGCGCCAGGACTTCTTCGCCGTGATGGAGCACCTGGCCGAGGACGAGCGCGTCAAGAACTACACGAGCGAGTTCGTGCGCCTGTACGAGCGCGTGGCCGCGGCCCACGACCAGAAGCGCGACCTGAACGCCGCGCTGGAGGAGCAGGCCTCCAGGAGGGAGCAGGACTCGCGGACCATCGCCAGGTACCGTCTTCGAGTACCAGCCGGGGCAGGTTTTTTTTTTTAAAGCGATTTTTGCCTACTGACGGAGGCAAAGAAGTGCGTGTTGCCCATTTTGCCGACGGCCTTCTAGCGCCCCAGGTGTGGGGGTCCGCGAAAAAGCTTGACGTGGTTTCTGGCCAGGTTTGAGGAGCAGGCGACGCGGGAGAACCAGGACGTGGCGGGGCTGCGGCGCCTGGTGGAGACGCTGCGCGCCGAGGTGGACGCCAGCCGGCTGCGCGAGCTGGACAGCAAGGGCATGATCGAGAACCTCCGCGAGGAGGTGGACCGCTACCAGGAGCAGATGCGGCACGTCGTGGAGCCCGCCGAGGAGGACGAGGAGATGGTGGACTACCAGCGCCTCAAGAAGCGCATCATCCAGGAGAAGCAGGAGATGGCCGAGACCAACCAGCAGCTCAAGAAGCACCTGGCCGAGATGTACGCGCAGCAGGAGGAAATGCACAGGAAGAACTCGGAGGCCACGCTGCAGGTGGGGAGCGCGTCGTGGATTTGCCGGAAGACCGGTGGAGGCGGCCGAAACTCTAGACGCGTTTTGAGCTCCGTCGCTAACCAGGCCTCGAACCGAACGTGTGACCCCACCAATGGATTCCTCGTTCGGAGAGCAATCCATTGGTGGGGTCGCACGTTCGGTTCGAGTCCCATTTAACGACTCTGGAGCTCAAAACGCGTCTAGAATTTTGGCCGCCTCATCCACCGGTCTTCTGGAGCGCGGACTTCCCCATCGGCGGACTTGGCACGACTTTGACTGCGCAGGTCACGAACCTCAGCGAGAAGCTGCAGCACGCCACGCAGGAGATCCACCGCGAGCAGCGCCTCAAGGAGAAGATGGAGGAGGAGCTGGAGGTCATGGCCGTGGAGCGCGACGAGCACGCCGCCAAGGAGGCCGAGTTCGCCATGACCGTGCGTGCCTCTGGCAGCCTCTGGCTTCAGACGAAGGGAAGGGGCGAACAAACACTAACCCCCGGCGGCGTGTCTAGACCCGCGCCGCGGACAAGACGATAGCCTCGCTGCAGGCAGCCGCCAAGGAGCAGCGCAGCGCCAACGACAAGCTGGTCAGGGAGAACGACTCGCTGGGGCAGAAGCTGCAGGAACAGCGCCGCGTCAACGACCGCCTGCACGCCGAGCTGGAGAAGGTGACGCCGCGCGTCAACCCCAGTGGGCCAGTGCCGGTGGAGGCGGCCAAAACTCTAGACGCGTTTTGAGCTCCAGAGTCGCTGAACAGGACTCGAACCAAATGTGTGACCCCACCAATGGATTGCTCTCCGAACGAGCAATCCATTGGTGGGGTCACACGTTCGATTCGAGTTCCATTTTACCGACTCTGGAGCTCAAAACGCGTCAAAAATTTTGACCGCCTCCGCCGGTCTTCTGGCCCACTGTGCCCCGGCCGGGACAGCGCGGCCCACCACGCTCCGTGTTCAGGTGCGCCAAGACTACCACGACAAGGCGTTCGAGATCGCGAGCCAGGAGGCGACCATCAACAAGCTGCGTAGCGAGGTGAAGATGGTCCGCCACAGCCTGGACAGCGTCTTCAACCGCCTCGGCGTGCAGCTTCTGCGCGGCAGACAGGTCAGGGTTCGAGTCCCAGCGGGGTGAGCGCGTTTTTCGGCCTCGCTGACCCAGTGGCGACGCTCTGCAGGTCGAGGAGCAGAGACAGGAGCTGGCCGTGAGCGTCAAGACCCTCGGCAGGGAGCTGGACGCGGCGCAGCGCGAGGTGGACCACGAGAAGAGGGAGATGGCGGACCTCAACCAGGCCAAGCAGCTGCTCGTCAACAAGGTCTGCGAGTGCGGCCTCGGACACGCACAGTGGGACGCGTTTTGAGCTGCAGAGTCGCTAAATGGGACTCGAACCGAACGTGTGACCCACCAATAGATTGCTCTCCGAACGAGGAATCCATTGGTGGGGTCACAGGTTCGGTTCTAGTCCCATTTAGCGACTCTGGGGCTCAAAAGGCGCCCAGAGTTCCGGCTGGCCTGCTGTGCCGCGGCCTCGGACTGACTGGTGGTGACAGGTGATGCGGGGCGAGGAGAGCTACAAGACGGCCGCCAACTGCCTGATGGTGTCGGAGAAGCAGCGGCGCAGCCTGGAGGCCGAGGTGGCGCAGCACGCCAGCGAGGCCGTGAAGCAGCGCCGCCTCATCGCCAAGCTGGAGCAGGAGCGCGAGCTGCTGCACGCCGACAAGGCCAACCTCAACAAGCAGGTCGACATCCTCTCCGACCAGCTCAACACGGCCAAGCTGGACGTGCTGCACTACCAGCGCCAGCTCTCCATCCTGGAGGCCAAGCTGCAGGCCCAGGTGTGTGTGTGTGCGCGCTGCGGGTGAGGGTGCACCGAGGGTGCGTTGTCTGACCGCGCGCGCTGCCCAGGTGAACCTGACGGAGGCGACCGTGCTGCAACGCAACAAGTTCGAGAAGCTGTACGAGGAGGCCCGCACGGTGCGCGACGACGTCAAGAGCCAGGTGCAGCTCATGTCGGCCTCGGAGCAGCAGCTCAAGGAGACCCTGGCGGCGCACGAGCTGGAGGGCCGGCGGCTGGCCATGGCGCTGTCCAAGGTGGAGCGCGACAAGGCCTGCATGGCCAGGGACGTGAACGCGCTGCAGCTCAAGACCCGCGAGCTGCAGGCCGTCATCGACGACCTGCAGAAGACGGAGGCCGCCCTGAAGCGCAGCGCCGCGGGGCTGGAGCGCGAGCGCGCCCGCCTGGAGCGCGACCTGCTTCGCGTGCACAACGAGCGGGACATGATCGGGACGCAGCTGGTGCGTCGCAACGACGAGATCCACCTGCTGCACGCCAAGATCGGCGTGCTGCAGAACATGATCGCCAGCGGCGAGGAGGAGTACCTGCAGCGCGTCGACGACGTGCGGCTGCTCAAGCTCGAGGTCTGCCTGTGCGGGGCCAGAAGACCGGTGGAGGCAGCCAAACCTCTAGACGCGTTTTGAGCTCCAGAGTCGCTAAATGGATCTCGAACCGAACGTGTGACCCCACCAACGGATTCCTCGTTCGAAGAGCGATCTATTGGTGGGGTCACACGTTCGGTTCGAGTCCTGTTTAGCGACCCTGGAGCTCAAAACGCGTCTTAGAGTTTTGGCCGCCTCCACCGGTCTTCTGGCCCACTGTGCGCCCCTGTGGGCCGACGGGCCTCCCCGTGAGAGCGAGAGAGACATCCGCTGTTTGCAATCCCCAGATCCGCAAGCAGCGCCAGGAGAAGGTGCTGCTGCAGCGTGACCTGGTGGCGGGGGCGGACCTGCGGCGTGAGCTCTACCACCTGTCCAAGGACCTGGCCTTCGAGAAGCAGCGCCGCGCCGCGCTCGAGTCCGAGCTCAAGACCCCCATCAACTTGCACCGCTGGCGGCGGCTGGAGGCCTCGGACCCCGCCTCGCTGGAGCTCATCCAGAAGGTGAACCTGCTGCAGAAGAGGCTGCTGGCGCAGCACTCGCTGCTGCTGGCCAAGGAGAGGCAGCTGCAGGACGCCGAGAAGCTGTACCTCGCGCTGCGCGCCACCATGGTCAAGCTGCCCGGGCCCGACGTGCTGCTGCGCCTCAAGAAGGCCCAGCACGCCTTGGAGCACCGCGCGCGCAAGATCAAGTCCCTGTTCGCCGAGCTCAGCATGCAGGAGGCCACGGTGCACGACTACCGCGTCGACCTGAACCGCACGCGCGAGGAGCTGGCCGACTTCAAGTCCATGTACTTCACGGCCAAGAAGAACCAGGACGCGCTGGGCAGGGTGCTCGCGCACATGGAGAAGGAGGCCCGCGCCCTGCCCCCCATAGACCCCGCAGTCGGCCCCAGAGCCCCCAGGGCCGGCCGCCAGGCCTGAGCCAGGTCAGCTCGCCAGCTAATCGAACAAAATGTTAATTCTGGTCCACTACAGCACAAAAATGAGGCGCCGGGCCGCCCTGGACGCCGCGGCCTCGCCAACCCGGAGCGGCAAACTTGGCGGTCATATGCAAATTAGTTGGGGGCAAGCCACGCTAATATTCCATTAACATGAACGCTTTAATTTAAATGGTTGTCTTGGTTGTAAAAGTTGAACCGCGCTTTTTTTTAGCCGGACGGTGGAAACGGGGATCGCTGAAAAGGCTTTCGCCGCTTTCGCCAGGTTACGACTCCCGACCCGCCTGCCAGCCCGCGCAGTCCGCAGCCATTGTCGCGCTGGTTTATGTCGTTTTAAACCTTTAAAGCCACGCGCGGCGCGGATTAAGCGGCCGGACTCCATGAGAGGGCCGTGCATGGATGACGTCATTCGAGAATTGGCGCGCTAAATCACGGTCTGGAGATTGAAAGGGACTGCGCGACGTTTTGCCAGGGGGGGGGAAAGGGGGGGGGGGCACGCCACGGCTGCTAAACGCGTTCGCGCGCAGGGCGCGGGTTCAACTCCCGCCCCCGGCGGCGATTTCTCGTTTAGCCGGTGGTGCTCATGAGCGCCTCCTGGGGCCGATCCCGGCCTAGGGGTGGGCCAGAGGGCAGCCCCGGAGCCCCGCAGCGGCATCAAAGTGTTTTTTTCGGCGCCCCGGCCGTGCCCCGGTCGAGTGTCATCCATCACGGTGTGCATGGTGTTGTTCCAGATGGCTACACCGTGATGGACGTGGTGATGTACTGGAAGGACCCCAAGGACGGCAAGCAGGGCGACTTCCTGGAGGACGAGGGCCCGGTGCGCGGCGTGTACAAGGCCGAGCTGCCCCAGTTCACCATCATCGGCTACGAGACCAACGACCGCAAGGAGCGGCTGGCGACGGGCATCTACCAGCGGCTGTCGCTGTCCTTCCGACTCCAGAGGAACATCGGCTACTTCGTCTTCCAGACGTACCTGCCCTCCATCCTCATCGTGATGCTGTCCTGGGTGTCCTTCTGGATCAACCACGAGGCCACCAGCGCCCGCGTCGCCCTCGGTAAGCCGAACCGCAGTTTCCATAACCAAGTTTTAGTATAGTCTGCTTAACTTTACCGCGTGGTTTTCCCCTACACTCGTAAAACAAAGGCATGGAAACTAAATGCTCAATAGTGTTTTCGCATCGTGAGGCAAGGGCGTGAAAATGTGATCGGAGCGCTTGGTCGGGCCTGATGACGAATACACTGCAAAAAAAAAAAACAAAAAAAAAGTTCCGCCAAGGCAAGCTTAGCAAAGCGGTCTTGCCGTGGACCGGCCGGGGAAGCCGGGCAGAGAGGGGGCAAGGAGGGAGGGGGTGGCTGTGAGGAGTGGGGACTGGCGCGGCGAGGCGGCGTGGCGGCGCAGGCGACGACGAACGACGAACGACGAACGACGAACCACGACCATGCAGTCCCCTCCGAGCGCGCTGAATGGATGGATGGGTGGATGGATGGGATGGGATGAGTGGGATCGTATGCAGAGCTAGAAGCGGTAGCAAGACCGCTTAAAAATGAGGGGGCGGCGGGATTCGAACCCGCGCCTTGTGACCCACTTCTTTGCACTCGTTGCGACGCGTTGTTCCTTATCGCCCGTCGGCGCTATCGACACCATCATTACGCCCTGCTTGTGCCGCTCGTGCCGCTTGTGCATCCCTCGGCGGGCCGGGCCTACCAGTGTGGGGGCGGGGTGATACGCCGCGGTCTGGAGGCCCTTGATGCGGGGAGGGGGGGACGGACGCCAGCCAGCGCCAGCCCAGGCCCTTTTAGCCTTCGCGCTCGATCGACCATCCCCACGGCGGAGTGGCCGCGCGGGCAAGGGCACCACTTTCAATGTTACAGGGTCATGGTTCGAATCCCGCCATGTTTCGTTTTTCGCTCGCGGTGGGAATCACCGCAAGCCGCGGCCGATAATTGTCCCGATTGTTTTTTAATGGAAAACGTGAGCCGCGCCGGTGTGGCCGCGTGCCAGGGTCGCCACACAGTGGGCCAGAGTGGGTAAAACTCTAGACGCGTTTTGAGCTCCAGAGTCGCTACATGGGACTCGAACCGGTGTCAGCGTGAACCTATACCCCCTTACCTAGGGTACTATTTCACTAGGAGGAAAGTACCTTGCCCTAGGGGAGGGTAATATTTCCCTAGGGATATCATACTCATGTAGGGTGGGGGGTAATATTTTCCTAGGGTAACTTTACCCCCTCTAGGGGGGGTAATAATCCACTAGGGGAAAAATACCCTCTCTCTGGAGGGGGTAAAAATTCCCTAGGAAAAAAATACCCATCACAGGGGGGTTATCATACACTAGTAATTTCTTACCCTCTCTCCGGAGAGAGGTACATGCCCACTAGGGTTAAGTTACCCAGGGGATCATAATTTACTAGTGAATTCGTACTTTCCCACCAGAAAACGAGTGTGAAGATGAAAAAAAAATCCACAAGCAATTAGAGAAAGCAAGTCATATACAAAATGAGTCAAAATAAATTCTAAACACAGAAAACAACTTGATTCACGAATTTTAATGTTTTCAGCACCATAGGTCATTTTTTTCTTAATTTTAAACTTTGCGAAATAAACGATGAGTTAGTCAGGTAGGTAGACGAATGCCCAAAACTCAGGAATGGGCGCCCGCTTTGGCTTATCCTTGGATTATGTAAAAATCCAATTTACTTTTTTTAAATTTGATTTTTCTGAAATTGCGTGTGGAACGTGTCTTTCAACACCTTAATGCTCGTTTTCTGGTGAGGGAGTACAAATGCCCTAGTAAATTATTAACCCCTAGGTAATTTTACCCTAGTGGCCATGTACCCTCTCAGGAGAGAGGGTAAGAAATTACTAGTGTATGATTACCCCCCTGTGATAGGTACTTTTTTCCTAGGGAATTTTTACCCCCTCCAGAGAGAGGGTATTTTTCCACTAGTGGATTATTACCCCCCCTAGAGGGGGTAAAGTTACCCTAGGAAAATATTACCCCCCACCCTGCATGAGTATGATATCCCTAGGGAATTATTACCCTCCCCTTAGGCAAGGTACTTTCCTCCTAGTGAAATAGTACCCTAGGTAAGGGGGTAAAGATACACGCTTACACCGGACCCCACCAATGGATTCCTCGTTCGGAGAGCAATCCATTGGTGGGGTCACACGTTCGGTTCGAGTCCCATTTAGCGACTCTGGAGCTCAAAACGCGTCCAGAGTTTTGGCCGCCTCCACCGGTCTTCTGGCCCACTGTGCGCGGGGAAAAGCCTTGGCGCGGGCTGGCGGGGTGCCGAAGGGAGCTGGGAGGTCGGCAACAAGTCGCACGTTGCACCTGTGGGTGGGCGACTTTTGCAAAATCGCCCCCAAGTCGCCCCCCTGAACCCGTCTCTGGATCCGCCGCGTGCGGCCGCGCCACGCAGCAGAGCCCCTGCGAGCCGCAGCGTAGGCCAGCCGCACAACAGCGGCGCGCCACGCCAGCAGTGCGGCCTACCTCGCAGGGGCCTCGTGGGGGGGGAGAGAGAGAGAGAGAGAGAGAGAGAGAGGAGAGGAGAGAGAGAGAGAGAGAGAGGGAGAGAGAAAGAGAGAGAGAGAGAGAAAGAGAGAGAGAGGGAGAGAGAGAGAAAGAGAGAGAGAGAGAGAGAGAGAGAGAGGGAGAGGGAGAGAGGGGGCATGGACGTGATCCTCGTCATGCCACTTGTGACGACTCCAGTTCAATAAATGAAAAAAAAAAAAAAAACGAATTGAAAAAAAAAAAAAAAAAAACAAGACCGCAGAACTGTGGGTGGGTTTGAAACAGGCTTGCCAATCCGTCTGTCCGTCTCTGTCGCGCAGGCATCACCACGGTGCTGACCATGACCACCATCTCGACGGGGGTGCGGTCGTCCCTGCCGCGCATCTCCTACGTCAAGGCCATCGACATCTACCTCGTCATGTGCTTCGTGTTCGTGTTCGCGGCCCTGCTGGAGTACGCCGCCGTCAACTACACGTACTGGGGCGCGCGCGCCAAGAAGAAGACGACCAAGGACAAGCAGGACGAGAAGCGGGCCGCGCAGGCCGCCAACGGTGAGTCCGCGGGTTCGAATACCAGGCCACTTTTTTTTTTGCGTGCTCTGCGTGTGGTTTGCTGCCGGGCTGTCCGGCAGGCAAGCAGCGGCTCGCGGCAGGCTCAACTCGCTCTTTTTTCCCCCTCGCGCAACTTTGGCGCCTGGATCTCCAGGCTGACAGCTTCGCTAGCGAAGTAGGCTCGACACGGTGTTGAATAGGCTTTACGTCACTTTGAGCCTGAATTGGCGCCTACAGCCCCGGGGCCGCGGTGGTGGCGGTGGTGGGGGAGGGCGCGCGTCGTGAAGAACAGAGCCGATGACAGCTGGGCCCGCCAGGCGTTGTCCCGTCAGGCCGCCGTCGGGCCGTCAGCCTGGGAGGGTATCGGAAGTCGTCGGAGCCTCTCCTCTCATTATACGGTTTTGATTGCATCCCCGCCTCCCGGCGCGTCGTCCCGGCGCGTCCCGCCGCCCTACCGCCCTTCTCTCATGTTAATGTGCGGAGCCGAGACCTCTTTCATCCCCGTCTAACCCAGAGCCCCCTTCCGTGACGGGCAAGTGCGGGCACCGGCGGGGACGGCCCCCAGATTGGCGATGCAGACACATGCCGGCACATGCCCCTACGTGGGGCCGGGGGGCCCACCTCCACTGCCTCCACGCACGCCGCGGGGCCACCGGGCCGCCAAACGCGGAGGCCGGCACACACTACACTGCGAACGAGCCGGAGGCCCGTGCGGGCGCTGCCCAGTGGGCCAGAAGGACCGGCGGAGGCGGTCAAAATTCTTTACGCGTTTTGAGCTCCAGAGGCGCTAAATGGGACTCGAACCGAACGTGTGACCCCACCAATGGAATGCTCTCCGAACGAGGAATCCATTGGTGGGGTCACACGTTCGGTTCGAGTCCTGTTTAGCGCCTCTGGAGCTCGAAATGGGTCCAGAGTTTTGGCCGCCTTCTGGCCCACTGTGTGCTTGTGTTTTTGTTTTGTCCTGGTTTTGTTTTTGAGACGTGGCCCCGGTGTTGCAGTGTCGACCAAGGACTGCTTCTCGCTGACGACGACGGCGCGCGACTCGCTGGAGGCGGCCGAGCCGCCGCTGTCGCCGCTGCCGTACCTGCGGCAGGGGGGCCACGGCCTGGCGGCGGGCGCGGCGGCCGCGGACCCGTCGCTGTCCCCCCCTCCTCCTTCCCGCCGTCGTTCCGCATCGCGCGCGCGTCGTACGCGGTGCCCGGCGGACACGGCGGCCACGCCGGCCACGGCCTGCGCTTCCGCGGCCCCAGGGGCGGCCCCAGGGGCGGCCCCGCGCACCGGCCGCGCGTCCTGCACGCCCTCAAGAAGGGCGCCTCCGCCATCAAGCAGTCCCTGCCGCGCATCCGCGACGTCAACATCATCGACAAGTACTCGCGCGTCGTGTTCCCCATGTCCTTCGTCCTGTTCAACGCCATCTACTGGATCTTCTACGTGGTCGTGGCGGGCTGAGCGCTGCGCCATGCCGCGCCATCGTGTGTGACTTTTTTGCAAGCCGCATTCATGGCTGGGCGTGTGTCCTGTTTCCAATGCCGCTGGAACAAGTGCGCTGATTGGCTGGACCGGATCCCCGCCCGCCAATCAGGCTGTTTTGAAAACCCACTGCCAACACAACGCGCGCGTGCCTTGAGAGGCCCACCTCATTTGTATTTGTCTTGTTTTTGTTGCCTATTTTCAATGACTGCTTCTCGCTCAGTAAAAAGAATAGAGCTTGGACTCTTTCGGTTCCGACTCGTCCGCTGGTTCAGGAAATCAATTTACGCGTGGCATACTTATTTTATAGGGACTGTACTGATTTAAACCGTACTTATTTTATGATTTAAGGAAATGAAGATGATCTATGTTTAACACTTTTCAGTGTGCTCCAATCTAAACTGTTTATTGCTTCGTCAAATGGGTCGCTTGGACGATTCGCCATTGTTTGTGATCTCAGCCATTTTTCAGTGTAGCGAGCAGCGAATCCAATCGTTTTGCCGCAGTATTATTGTAACATTTTGTGTCATTCGTCCCATTTGTTTTGTTTTGTGAATGTTCATAATTAATGAATACATAATGTTAAGCCCACACTTGCTTACCCATGCTTCCAGGTAGTGTGCAAGTCGACCGTCGTAGTGTATTGCCGTTGTGTACGTAGGATTATTTTAAGTGTGAGGTTTCACTCATTGAACCATAGATCTCTAAGAGAGAAATCAGAAGTTATCTTGTTTGTCTGCCGAGCCGTTGTTTTTACCGCATTGAAAATGTCTCATTATGATGGTCACTCTATGCTAGAATTGCCAATGAATAAAAACGATTCAATCCTACTGAAAACAAACCATCGTTCTTTTTTCCCCTTCCCCCCTCCGCCCCGCGTGACACAACTGTCCAGAGAGGACTGCAACAGGTTCAATGGGTTTGGAACAGAAGTTTATTATCACTTGACAGAACCACCGATGCACAGCCACTGTAGAATGTTCACGCGCAGACCGTTCAATCGCACTCACTGTAAGTCAGGTACACGCTCTCTCACACACGCAGCCACGTGACAAGAAACTCCTGCGGGTTCGCGTCGCCCCGCGTCGCCCCGCGTCAAGAGGCCCTCAAAGGGCGTGGATTGCCGGGCCGAGCCCCTCGGGTGTCGGCGGGCATTCGGGCAGCGCGTTCGGGGACCTCTTGCGGGCCGGCCGGCCAACCTCCAGGGTCGATACCTCGAGGAGCTCGAAGACGGTCGGCGGTGGGAACGTCACGCGCGAGACAACAGAGATTCCAAATTCGATTTTGCAGCTTGGTTGTCTCGCGCGTGAGGTTGGCACGCCTTGACCGGCCGGCCCTGCACTGCAGGGCGACCAAGGGCGACTCGCTCAGGCCGCCTTCACGACGACGAGGGCGTCTTGAACTTGTCGCCGTCCACCGCGTCCATGATCCGCTGGTACTCCGTCGAGGACATGCCCTTGAAGTTGTCGGCCGAGCGCTGCGCGCGCCCCGACCGCCGGAAGAAGTAGTCGTCGTAGTCCGTGTAGTCCACGTTGGTGTAGTACGTGTAGCGCGCGTAGTAGAGCGCGGCGAAGGCCGAGTACGTCAGCAGCACGGCGGTGCCGATCTGGGGAGCAAATAGCAATCAAGACGCAGTGGACTTGCCAGGACCCGCAGGCGGACAAAGCGCCAGACGCGTTTTGAGCTCCAGAGTCGCGAAAAGGGACTCGAACAGGACGTGTGACCCCACCAATGGATTGCTCTCCGAACGAGGAATCCATTGGTGGGGTCACACGTTCGGTTCGAGGCCTGTTCAGCGACTCTGGAGCTCAAAACGCGTCCGGGATTTCGGCCGCCTCCACCGGTCTTCTGGCCCACTGTGGCGGCGCGACGGTGGCGACAGTGGCGCCTCACTGCGACTGCCTGCGGCCCGGAAGCGACCGGAAGCGCCCGGAAACCAGCGCCACATTGCTTCCGGTAAAGACGGACGCACTTCCCACGGCCCGGGCGACCCGCAGCAGATTCATCAAGACGTCTCTGCGGCTATTAGCTGCCAGCTCGGTCCGACCCGGCCGGCGCCGGCCCGCGCAGCCAGCCACGGCCAGCCCGCCAGGGTGGTGGGCACTTTCCGCTGCGCGCTGCGCCACCCAGATTGCCCAGACACCACCGGCCTGTCTCCTGATTGATTGAAACGGACGGATTCGAGGGGGGGGGGGGCTGCGCCGTATCGAGGCTGTGTCCCGTGTAGACGGAACCCATTCCTCAGCGCTATCTCTCTCTCGCTTGCCGTATTTGGCGCTTTTTACACGCCCTCGATATCCATGTGACGCTCTCACTCGAACGCGACGAACAGTGGGCCAGAAAAGCGGTAGAGGCGACCAGAACTCTACAGCGTTTTGAGCTCCGGAGTCGCTGAGCAGCACTCGAACCGAACGAATCCATTGGTGGGGTCACACGTTTGGTTCGAGCCCCATTTAGCGACTCTGGAGCTCAAAACGCGTATAGAGTCTTGGCCGCCTGCGCCGATCTTCTGTCCCACTGTGCGGTGTGCGCCGCGGACGTACGAGTGTCTCAGCCGCAGTCTCTCTCTCTCTAACCGGAAAAAGGGGCCCCAAAAAACTTGTAGGGCGACCAGAAAAGCGTTTTGAGCGACCGGAGTGTTGAGGCGCCCGGCCCGACTCGAATCCGTGGGTGGGGTACCGTTTGGTTCCCAGCCCCCTTTGGGGCGACTCGGAGCTCAGCAACGGAAGAGCGGCCCGGGCCGCCCGACTTCTGTCCCCCCTGTGTTGGTTGAAGCTGTTTTCGGACGTTCGGTTCTCAGCCCATTTCGACTCTTTTACCTGGAAGGTGTACATAGAACTCTAGGAGTGTTGATGACAAAGTCGTATTTAGTTGGAGTACACTCGCAGTGTTGACGGTCGCCCGGCCCACTGGGCGCTGGGTAGCCGTGCAGGTCTGCAGCCCCCGGGACTTGGAAAGACAGAACCTGGATTCAGCCAAGTAACCGAGCAAAGCCGACATGCCAGACACTCCAGGGTAGGTCATCAAAGTGGCACTCCAGAGTGAAGTGTCATAAGTACACTGGGTTGAAAAGACATGATGTTCCCCCGGTGGTTCCCGAGTCCCATTTGTAGAGTATGGAGCTCAAAACGCGTCCGGGATTTGCACCGCCTGGCCCACTGTTCGGGTTTTGGCGAGGCGTGGCGATGACGGTCAGAGTGATTGCTTTCCCTTTCCGTTCTTAGCCGCGAATGCACGCACGGTCCGGCCCAACTTGCGGGCTCGCTCCGAACAGAGCGAGAGAGAGAGAGAGAGAGAGAGAGAGAGAGAGAGAGAGAGAGAGAGAGAGAGAGAGAGAGAGAGAGAGAGAGAGAGAGAAACGCCCGTTCGGAACGGCCGGCCGGTCGGTCACGAGGGGCGGGGATTGGCGACGATAATCCCCCGAAATCCACACCTTATAGTGTCGTAAATGGTTCCGACCGAAAGTGACGCGTGCTTTACTGCCGGGGCGTAATAACAAACGGCCAGGTCCGGGGTTCGAGTCCCGCCGGCTGCCATTTTTTTTCCGGTCTACTACATTTCCTATTGGCTTCCGGTTTCGTTCTTGCGCTAGTTATTCGATCAGCGACGACTAGAAAGCTCTTTGTTTTCTTTTGAGCCCACGAGCAGTTCCTTTGTTTTAAATCTTTTTTTTCGGTGTGTGAGCGGGCCGCCCGCCCACACCGTTAGCTGTCACTGAGTCGGGGCGCGCGGAGTGGCTGCAAAGGATCTAACACGGTCGCGAGACCGCCGCGCCGTCACGAGCGCGTCACCACTTCGTCACGGCGACACGTCACGCCTCGTCACGCCGCGTCACGCCGTGTCACGTCGGAACAAATAAGTGGTGACAGCCGTCCGTCTGCCTCCGCGTGTCTGTTCGATCGGCTGGCTGTCGTCTGGAAATGACTTTTGTTTTTTGGCCTCTCCCTCTCGGACTGCAGGCCCGTGCATCGCTCCGCGTCGCTGTCTCTCTCGCACCCCCAGCAGACGCGCTTCGAGGGCGAGGGAGACGGTGACTTTGGAGCCGCGCACCCACTGCGAGCAGCGTGTTAGGACGACGGCCTCGACCGCCAAATGGGTCACGTGGTTTAGAAACGACCCCCGCGTCGACCACAGCGCGGGTACCGAGTGTTCGAATCCGGGTCCTGGGCCCTGCCAGCCCGGCACTGACCTGGAGAAGCGCGTGTGCTTGCCGAAGGTCTCGGCCCCCGTGAGGATCTCCAGCAGTCGCAGCACGTAGACGGACACGGGGGTGGGCAGGGCGCGGCGCGGCGGCGGCGCGGCGTCCAGGGCGGGCTGGTCGTCGGGGAAGTCCACCTCGCCGTCGTCCTCCACGTCCTCGACGTCGGTAGCGTTGGCGGCGGCCGCGTTGGCGGCCCTGGCCGCGGGCACGGCGACGGCGGCGAGCACCAGGGCGACGAGGAGCCAGTGCAGGACGGTCATGGCGGCTTCGCGGTGCTGCGCGGTGCTTCGGAGTGCGGCCTGCCTGACGTCCGGACGATTCACCGACTGTTTGCCGGGCTAGTCTGATTACCGGCTGCTGCGGTCAGCGGTACCCCCTCCCCTCCCCCTCCCCCTCCCGAGTTCGCACCTCCCCACCGAGTGACCCCCTGGGACCGCCTCGCCGGCATCGCCTTCGGAGGGGGGAGGGGAGGGGGAGGGGCCATCAGCCCCGCTTACGCGCTCACCTGATCGTAAAGACGCAAAATCGGCTCTCGAACGGGCCTGGGGCAGGCCTGGGGCGCCCGGTGGCCTCCAGGACCTCCTCCGGGCCGGCGAGCACCCCGCCAACGAGTACCTACGTGGCCTGGCGTGTCCGCCGGGCCGCGGTTGCCGTTTCAAAACGCCCCCTGAGTGCGCCGTCGTCGCCGGTACTCCCAGCCGTCTGATAAGCCGCGCTCGGTCTCTGTCGCACTCGCAGGGCGTCCCGCAGGGGGTGCGAGAGAGACAGAGCGAGGCCGTTTGGCTGCATTGGCTGCATGGGTAGCCCCTCGGGTAACCCGCGCTCGGCCGGCCCGTCCGGGCGTCTGCTAGCGGCGCCTGGCTAGGCCTGCCTAGGCATTCCCCATCACGGTGTGTGCAGGCCGCGCTAGGGTCGCCCCGCGCGTGGAAATGCTAATCAACCTCCTAACGACGGGCTGAGGTGGCGGGGCGGTGGCGACGCGGCCTCACGAAAATGGGACATTTGTCGGTCTTCGTCGCCGGGCCCCGTCAGCATGCGCCAGGGCCCGTCGCTCTGTCTCTCTCCCCGGCGGCCCCCACGGGTGCGAGAGAGACAGGCCGCCGGCGATTCCACTAATTTAGATGGCCCTCCAAATTGGCATCAATCAGCGTTGCCGCCGGTCGCACCAAATCGATGCCGCCGCCCGTGAAATTGGTTCGGATGTGGAAAAAGATGGGGGCAGGTTGGTGATCCTGGCGGTGGCTTTCCACCAGCGCGTGGCGTGGCGTAGTGCCGCACCACTGTGCGTGACGTTGTGCGACCTCTTGACGAGGCGCGGGTGCCGCTAGGTTAACGGATCGGCACTTGTATGATGGCTCTAGTCTCGTGCAGGTGCCAATGACACCCCTCCCCCCCTCCCCGTCCCCTCCTTCCGCCCAGTGCAGCAGCAGCGGTCAGTTCCAATCAAACAAGCCGTTCGACAGTGTGCTTTGCCTAACCACTCACTCGCTTAGATACGAACTTCAGACTATTTTTTACTCGATACAACCATTTTTTTCCTATGCAACTTAATTTTTTTGAAAAACTGTGATAAACTTTGCTGTGAAACGGTCCTGTGAAGACTTCGCACCAAAACTGACACCCGCAATTTACGTGAAAAGATGGCGATTCTTTTTTCAAAAACTTGGTTTTGTTTTTATTTTTGTAAAGACACTACTGGTCAGACCACGTGCCAGGGCCGCCAGGGCTGCGAGGGCTGCCGGCCCTGCAGGCAGTCAGTGGACCAGTGGCCGTGGTGATCCCATCACGGGGCCGGGCGCATCTGGAGTCCGGCGCTCCAGCGGCCAGTGGGCCAGGCGGACAAAACTCTAGACGCGTTTTGAGCTCCAGAGTCGCTACATGGGACTCGAACCGAACGTGTGACCCCACCAATGGGTTGCTCTCAACGAGGAATCCATTGGTGGGGTCACACGCTCGGCTCGAGGCCTGCTTAGCGACTCTAGAGCTCAAAACGCGTCCAGAGTTTTGTCCGCCTCCACCGGTCTTCTGGTCCACTGTGCAGGGCTCGGCCAGCTCCAGCGAGGCGCCCCCTTCCCTCGGCGCTCCAGGCCGCCCCTGGCAGCGCGCCGCTCCGCCGCTCCGCCCTGGGCCGCTCAGTAAGGACTCGGCGGTGGAGCCGGCAGCATCGGGACGCACTGGGGTCCCTCCGCGCCGCGCCCCGCCCAGCCCCGCCATCCACGTGCTCGTCGGCGAGCTGCCTCTCGCGCCGCGCCATGCTGGCCCTGCTCATGGCCACCACCATGTTGTTGATGTTGTTGCTGGCCACCACCATGATGGCCGCCGTCTCGGCCAACGCGGCCTGCTGCTGCTGCCACTAGCGCCGTGGCCGCGCCGCCACGTCTTGGTGCATGGCGGCCTTGTCCAGAGGGGGCGCGCACAGCGCGGCGTAGCACAGCGCGGCGTAGCACAGCGTCCCACAGCGTAGCGCGGCGGGGCGTCGGTGCCGCCAGACCGCACCGCCCTGGCACCGCCAGCAAGCCAGCAAGCACGACGTGCAGCTGTCGGAAGCGGTGATGGAGGGGGGCAGCTGACTTACAGCGGACCGGAGCTGACTTGCAGCTGACGTGCAGCTGACGCGTAGCTGACGCGTAGCTGGACCAAAAGCTGACGCGTAGCTGACGCGTAGCTGGACCAAAAGCTAACGCGCAGCTGCCGCATAGCTGACGTGTAGCTGAGTGCAGCTGACGTTGGACTGACTCGCAGCTGACTCACAGCTGACTTCAGCGAGCCGCAGGTGAGTAGCTGACACGGGGCTTGTTGGACGCGCGAAACGACTAAATCCTCGTTTTTCATCGCTGTTTGATTGTGGGCGTGTTGGTGGAAGGGGGTGGTGATTTAATGGAATAGGCAGCGAATAAGTGAAATTGGATTGGAGGTGGGAAAGGGGGAGGGGGGAAAGGGGGGGGGGCGGATTCCCAGAGGTGGAGGCGGCTTCAGAGTAGGTGATATCGATGTTGACACCAGTGTAACTTAAAACGACGAGGGACCCGCCAGGATTTGGGATTTGGGGATGTTGAAGTGTCACCACTTGGGGGGAGGGGGATGTCAAGGGGGTTAGAAAGGAGGGGGGGGGTGTTTGGGCACGCCTTGGGGGATGAGGCAGGCACGCTGAATACGCGGGACACTAAAAAAAAGTTAAGTGAAGTCGACTCGAATCGACCAAAAATGTTTGATATGAATCCATTGAGATAAACCCGATCGTGTTTACTGCTCTAAGGGTTGGGCTGTGGCACTTGTGTTTTCCAAATTTTCATTTTTGAAAAATAGGTATCTTTTTGTTTGTTGCTGCCGTCAGGAATAGTGGAATTTGAAGAGGCATACTGGGGCTATATCGATCGCGACTCTGTCTCAACTTTACCTACCTCCTCCGCTCCATCAACCGCGTGACATGTTTTATTGAAAGCAACCCCAACGCGTTTCAATCTCGGGGAAGAATGCCGCTGCACTGCGGCGTTGCACAGTGGGCCGGAAGACCGGTGGAGGCGGCCAAAACTCTAGACGCGTTGCGAGCTCCAGAGTCGCTGAATGGGACTCGAACCGGACGTGTGACCCCACCAATGGATTGCCCTCCGAACGAGGGATCCATTGGTGGGGTCGCACGTTCGGTTCGAGGCCTGCTCAGCGACTCTGGAGCTCAAAACGCGTCTGGAGTTTTGGCCGCCTCCACCGGCTTCTGGTCCACTGTGTGGCGTGCCGTGGGATGGCGTGGGCGGTGGCGCCCCCGTCCGGCCGACTGGCGAACCAAAGGTGGCCGATCTGCGACTGACGCGGCCGTCACAAACAAGTGCCTGTTCGCGGTGCCCGCGCAAGGTCACGCAGTCAGACTGGGACAACACGGCAGCCAACCGACCCAGGCAATAATTTTGTTTGTAGACATTTTTTTTAAACAGATTGAATGGATTTCTGTTTTAGGTTCGGAGTGTGTTTTCAAATTAACGAACGACGTTGAAATGAAATCGCACGTCCGCGAATCGATTTTAACAGTGCAGTGGTGTTCACTGAGGCGGATAAGGGCGTCGCTATTTTGCTGCGGAACTAACTTCGGGCCTGCATTCCGCCGTCAATGCCACACTGTATGGAGCGCGTCCATCTCTGCGCGCCGCGCTCGCGAAACGCATGTTTTGTGTGTTTTAGGAATGCGCGAGGACGCTCGTGTGTGTGTGTGTGTGTGTGCGTGTGTGTGTGTGGGGGGGGGGTCGCAAATATGTTGGGGGAGGGCAGCTCGCTCATCTCCGTTACTGTATTACTGTAAACTTTTTAATTAGCTCTTTTCTGTTTTTTTTTTTTTTTTTTTACTAAAAAGCAGTTTACTACGATGAACATGAACATGATAGGCTAGACCGGGAATAATTCTCCGCTGATTGAGGCCCGAGCACCTCGGTCCATTCCTGTCTCTTTCTGTCTGTCCGTCCGTCCGCTGATGGTCCGGATGCACCGTGGAATGGAACATCCACGCCATCACGACCACTATTAGTTTAGCCTGCAGGCCGCGGCGCGGCGCGCTCAAAATTCGGCAAACACGAATAAGCAGCGAATCGCGGATGCAAATGCGCGCATTGTTTGTCGCTGTTTTTTCCCCCGGCGGTTTGCACCCGCTTGCATTCGGCTCGCTCGCATTGTGCCGACAGTGGAGGGGTCAGAGGTGGCGGTGGAGGTGGAGGCTGTTGTCAAGCCTAAGTCATTGTCTCTGGCGCGCTGATCTTGACGACGTTGTCGCCACACCTGGGGGGGGGGGGGGGGGGGCGGTTAACTCGGGGAAACTAGTTTCACTGCCAGTAATTGAAGGACGACCCCTGCGTACACTACACTGCCCCCTCTGCATTCTGGCCTCGCCCGGCCCGGCATTCCCGAGGGATGGTCTCCTCGCCAAGGCCAGTTGGCCACCCTAGCGGGCCGTTGTCGGCGCCGGGTGGCCACCCTAGCCGGGAAGGGTTGGCGGCCCTGGCGGCCGTGATTAGCCAGGCCCAGTTTCATCACGCCATCACGCGCCAATCGGCGAGCCGGGAGCGAGAGCTGCACCATTGTTATTTTCTTTGGGAAGCGCTGAGACTCGCGGGAAAGTTGGCCAAAGTCAAGAATGGATTTTGCTGATTTTTTATTCGGTTTTTCTCGTCGGCCGCCGCGCGCTGCTGTACAACGAGTGGGGTGCGGGAGGGTGTGGTGGGAAGGTGGGTGGGCAGTTGGGTGGGGAGGTGTGGTGGGGAGGTGTGGTGGGGAGGTGTGGTGGGAAGGTGCGGTGGGAAGGTGTGGTGGGAAAGGAGATGCGAAGGTGTGGGGAGGTGCGTGGCGTGTAACCAGGGTGTAACGGTGCCCCACCTCTGCCGCGCCTCTCGTTGCAGGGCTGGGCTCCAGGCTCCGCGCCTTGCGACATGCATTACTCTGCGTATAAAATTAGGTTTCGCCCGCTCAGCTGAAAGCACGTCAAGCGTCTCCCGGCCCGTCCCGGCTCCAGGCAGATCAGCCTGGGGAGCTCCGGGCGGTGTGCTGGGTGGGGCTGGCGGGCCGGGCGGGCCGGGCGGGCCCGGTGAGCCAGAGCAAGGGGTCCCTCTCGGACACTGCCTGGACTGTGTTCCATGACGTGCTGGAGCGGCTGGAGCGGGTGGGGCATGCCCAGCGTGGAGCCCAGCGGCTGGATTACATATTGTAGCCACTGCACTGCAAAACAAACGGCAGTGGAGGCGACGGAGGGCGTCGTCGTGGCATCGGCACTCCGCCATCTCCAAAGCAAATGCTTTGATCCGCCGGCGGCACGGCCCAGGCACCGCCCGCCTCGGTTTTAAGCCCTCATAAGTCGAGCTTTGCCGCAGAGGCGCCACAGCCTCCCTGTCCGCGTCGGGCCGCGTCAGGCCGCCTCAGTCTCCAGCCGGGTGCTCGGACTTGCCTCTCGTTATATCCGGCAGCCAGTCCGAACCATCTCGTCTCTCTCGCACCCCCACGCGTCGCGCTATGGTGTGCGACGGAGACAGAGGCGTCGAGCACTCGGGAGGCGAGAGGTACCCGAGCGCACCGGACGGCGAGGCCGGGCCGGGCCGCGCCCCCCGCACTCGATGCAAATGCCGAGCCCCCACTGTTAAAAATGTCTCAGAATCCGGACCGTTTCTGCCGGGCGATGTGCTCCGAGTCTCAAACTGCAAACTGACAATGCCGAGGTCTGTTTTCGGCTGTTCTCTGACTTGCGAGCCTCACCGTTTACGCACGGCCCCCGAGATTCGTCATTTCGTCAAAGTTGGCCGCGACCCCCCGCGGCGATGAGAGCCTGCGAGGCGCCGCCCTCTGTGTCGCCAGAGGAGAGAGAGAGAGAGAGAGAGAGAGAGAGGGAGAGAGAGAGAGAGAGAGAGAGGAGAGAGAGAGAGAGAGAGGGAAAAAGGGGAGGGGGGGGGGAGGAGAGGGGGGGGGAGAGGAGAGGGGGGAGAGAAAAAGAGAGAAGAGAGAGGGGAGAGAAGAGGGGGAGAGAGAGGGGAAGGGAAGAGAGAAGAAAAAAAAAAAAAAAAAAGAAGAGAGAGAGAGAGAGAGAGAGAGAGAGAGAGAGAGAGAGAGAGAGAGAGAGAGAGAGAATCGCTCCGCTATGCGCCCCAACTTTCCATTGGAAATCCGACACCCGGTGCAACACCGAGGATGACTCTGCGGTGCAGTTCCTGGACGTTCTGAGATTTGCCGAACGGATACACCTTGGTGGGGGAGCTTGTTGTGGGCGAGCGCGAGAGGAGGGGTGGGGCGGGGCGGGGCTGACTGATCGAGGATTGAGACCCCTAGCTGACGGGAGACAGTCCGGAACTGTGGAACCCCACTGGTAAACACGTCACTAGCAGAGCAGGGCGGGCAGGGGGGCGGAGTTCGTTCGGCAAGCCAAGCCCATTCCAGTGTAGTGGCTGCTGCTGAGGCGTCTGCCTGGCGTCTGCGGCGTGAGGAATGTCCGCGACAAGTTCGGTCGTACCCGCGGGGCGCGCGAAATGTTAACGGGTACTTCTGCGCTGCAGCTCTTTTTGTTGAGGAATTTCAGCTGTCGCGACGAAGCAGTGCTGGGAATCAGTGGGCCGGGCGTGTGCAACGTGTGCAAGCAGACGGAGTCAGACGGACGGGCGGGCCTACTCCTGATTGGCGCTCTTCCTCCAGTGTGCCGGTGGCGTCGTGGATGGGGCAGCAGCCTGCCGGCACAGTGGGCCAGAAGACCGCTGGAGGCGGCCGAAACTCCAGACGCGTTTAGAGCTCCAGAGTCGCTAAATGGGACTCGAGCCGAACGTGTGACCCCACCAATGGATTCCTCGTTCGGAGAGCAATCCATTGGTGGGGTCACACGTTCGGTTCGAGTCCCATTTAGCGACTCTGCAGCTCAAAACGCGTCCGGGCTTTCGACCGCCTCCACCGCTCTTCCGGCCCACTGTGCAATGCAGCCAGCCGCGCGCAGCGACGGCGTTGCCGCCAAACTCATGACCGACTCTGGCCATTCCTCGTCTAAATCACCTTCGCCCCCCCCCCACTTTCCGCTCGTCGTTTATACATTCCCCTCGCCGTGTTTACCGGGCGACGCTGCATCCCTCTCCTTCACGCCCCTCCTTCCCTCCATTTTTCTTCCTCCCCGAATTTCGGAATCACTTTGTTTAAAAAAATTTTGATCGCCGCGCCATTCCGCCGCGGTTTTGGTTTCGCCCCGCCAAGGAGAAGCGTCTCCTGCAGGAGTGCCGGCCATGGACACCTCGGATCGTCACGCGGAGTGGCACACTGTCACGCTGAGAC